GGTAATAAATTTTATTTTAAGACATATCAATATTTAATAAGAAAGTGAAAATTTATTATATACTAGTAGTTTAATATTGCCGAATAACTTTTAAATTTAATATTTGCGGTAATAAATTTTATTTTAAGACATATGAATATTTCATAAGAAAGTGAAAATTTATTGTATACTAGTAGTCGGAAAAAAATCTTTTCGAATATTTTTTAAATTTAGGTTACGAGCTAATAATATTTCTACAATTCGGAAAAAAATCTTTTCGAATATTTTCTAAATTTAGGTTACGAGCTAATAATATTTCTACAATTCGGAAAAAAATATTTTCGAATATTTTTTAAATTTAGGTTACGAGCTAATAATATTTCTACAGTTCGGAAAAAATCTTTTCGAATATTTTTTAAATTTAAATTACGAGCTAATGATATTTCTGACAATTCGGAAAAAAATATTTTCGAATATTTTTTAAATTTAGGTTACGAGCTAATAATATTTCTACAATTCGGAAAAAAATCTTTTCGAATATTTTTTAAATTTAGGTTGCGAGCTAATAATATTTCTACAGTTCGGAAAAAATCTTTTCGAATATTTTTTAAATTTAGGTTACGAGCTAATAATATTTCTACAGTTCGGAAAAAATCTTTTCGAATATTTTTTAAATTTAAATTACGAGCTAATGATATTTCTGACAATTCGGAAAAAAATCTTTTCGAATATTTTTTAAATTTCGGTTTCGAGCTAATAATATTTCTACAATTCGGAAAAAAATATTTTCGAATATTTTTTAAATTTAGGTTACGAGCTAATAATATTTCTACAATTCGGAAAAAAATCTTTTCGAATATTTTCTAAATTTAGGTTACGAGCTAATAATATTTCTACAATTCGGAAAAAAATCTTTTCGAATATTTTTTAAATTTAGGTTACGAGCTAATAATATTTCTACAATTCGGAAAAAAATATTTTCGAATATTTTTTAAATTTAGGTTACGAGCTAATAATATTTCTACAGTTCGAAAAAAAATCTTTTCGAATATTTTTTAAATTTAGGTTACGAGCTAATAATATTTCTACAATTCGGAAAAAAATCTTTTCGAATATTTTTTAAATTTAGGTTACGAGCTAATAATATTTCTACAATTCGGAAAAAAATATTTTAGAATATTTTTTAGATTTAGGTTACGGGCTATCTTAAGACATCTGAATATTTCATAAGAAAGTGAAAATTTATTATATACTAGTAATTTAATATTTCCGAATAACTTTTAAATATAATATTTGCGGTAATAAATTTTATTTTAAGACATAGGAATATTTCATAAGAAATTGAAAATTTATTATATACTAGTAATTTAATATTTCCGACTAACTTTTAAATTTAATATTTGCGGTAATAAATTTTATTTTAAGACATATGAATATTTCATAAGAAAGTGAAAATTTATTATATACTAGTAATTTAATATTTCCAAATAACTTTTAAATTTAATATTTCGGTAATAAATTTTATTTAAAGACATGAATATTTATAAGAAAGTGAAAATTTATTATATACTAGTAATTTAATATTTCCAAATAACTTTTAAATTCAATATTTCGGTAATAAATTTTATTTTAAGACATATGAATATTTCATTTTAATTTTCGAATCTGAAATCGAAATTTATGAAACCAATGTTTCCTAATATTTTTTAATTTTCGAATCTGAAATCAAAATTTATGAAACCAATGTTTCTTAATATTTTTTAATTTTCGAATCTGAAATCATAATTTATGAAACCAATGTTTCCTAATATTTTTTAATTTTCGAAACTGAAATCAAAATTTATAAAACCAATGTTTCTAATATTTTTTAATTTTCGAATCTGAAATCAAAATTTATGAAACCAATGTTTCCTAATATTTTTTAATTTTCGAATCTAAAATCGAAATTTATGAAACCAATGTTTCCTAATATTTTTTAATTTTCGAATCTGAAATCAAAATTTATGAAACCAATGTTTCATAATATTTTTGATGCAGATTCGAAAATTAAAAAATATTATGAAACATTGGTTTCATAAATTTTGATTTCAGATTCGAAAATTAAAAAATATTAGGAAACATTGGTTTCATAAATTTTGATTTCAGATTCGAAAATTAAAAAATATTAGGAAACATTGGTTTCATAAATTTTGATTTCAGATTCGAAAATTAAAAAATATTATGAAACATTGGTTTCATAAATTTTGATTTCAGATTAAATTACTTGTATATATATATATATATATATATATATATATATATATATATATATATATATATATATATATATATATATATATATATATATATATATATATATATATATATATATATATATATATATATATACAAGTAATTTAATCTGAAATCAAAATTTATGAAACCAATGTTTCATAATATTTTTTAATTTTCGAATATATATATTATGAAAAAATTGGTTTCATAAATTTTGATTTCAGATTAAATTACTAGTATATAATAAATTTTCACTTTCTTATGAAATATTCATATGTCTTAAGATAGCCCGTAACCTAAATCTAAAAAATATTCGAAAAGATTTTTTCCGAATTGATAAATATTAGCTCGTAACCTAGATTTAAAAAATATTCGAAAATATTTTTTCCGAATTGTAGAAATATTATTAGCTCGTAACATAAATTTAAAAAATATTCGAAAATATTTTTTCCCTAATTAAAAAAATTCGGGAAATTTTGTTCGGAAAATTCGGGAAATTCGCTTGTATTTTTCAACCTCCTCGTAGACTGCGCTTCTATTGGGAAAAATACGGTATACTATATGTTTTAAGCCTAGAGGTCGACAAATGTTGGGCCCAGGACTGGAATTCGATATTAGAATCCGAATTCGAATCCGGTTTCCAGGCCTTTCAGCTCGGAAACAGTGTATTTTGTAAAATCATGTTTTTGGGGTTTCCTGGGTTTTTAGCTTTTTTCCTATGCCCGGAAAACCGGCCCGGGTCAGCTTGAATGTAAAACCCTAGTACCGGTCCTGACAATTTGAATTTGACTAACTCTGTTTAATACAAACTTTACAGAAATATAAATTTGAGGTTTTTCATAAAATTATTAACAAAAATGTTCAATTATTCTTCCCATTTTTCTTCTAATTTTTATTTAGCAATTCAGGTGCTTCCATTTCCAAAATTTTTAAAGCATCATTAATACTACTTTTTGCCCTCGTTTTAATACATTCCATTTTTTCTTTGAATTCTGGATCATTTTCTGGTGTCCCTCTTTCAAAAAACGGAATTTCCATAACCCTGCCTATAGCTTGTGAAATAATTGCCAAATTGTAAACATGTTGAAGCTTTAAAAATTAGAAATATTTTCTTTAATGCTGGAGAATCCTGGAAAATCTTCCAATATTCTAATCGATATCCGAATGCGACTCAGTTACATATTAGAATTCGAACCAGATATTCGACTCCAATAGCCAAATTCAGATTCGATACCCAACCCCAAAATTTTTCAAGAATTCTTATCCGGAAACGAAATTTTTATTAATTAATGAAGATTGTCTGGTGTCAGAAAGAGTATTGGGAATAATTTTCAGAGAGGCTAGAACATTGTAGTGTAGGGCCTAGCTTTGGAAGGCTAAAACAAAGGTACTTTATGGATATGTCACCCCCCTCCTATTTTGAGTCTCAGAGTTTTCCTTAAACGTAGAAAATGGTCAGAAATTATTTTCTTCTCCATGTCAATCATTTTTTTTCTTCTTCAAGTATTTTGCTGGTTTATTTTGCCTTTTCACATATTTTGTACTTACATTTCACTCATTTGGTTTCTACATTTACCAGATTTCACTTATTTTGCTTGAAGAAAGAAAAATATTGACATGGAGAAGAAAATAATCTCTGACCATTTTCTACGTTTAAGGAAAACTCTGAGACTCAAAATAGGAGGGGGGGGGTGACATATCCATAAAGTACCAAAACAAATTTCTTCAAAAATAATGGCCGTCATTAGGGGGAGTATATAGGTGGAAGAGGGCAAAACAGACGAAAGAGGGGAGGGGGTGAGTAAACATTTAGAGATTTAAGATAGATTCATAGGCAGTAAATCAGTTTATATTAATTTTAAAATTAAATTTAAAAAATATTTTTTAATTTTCTAATTACATACATCTTCAAATCCATACTTTACTTTTTCCATTCCTTGTTCAACCAATTTTTTATTTAATTCAGTTAAATATAGTTCTAAAATTTTCCCTTCCTTTTCAATATTTTTACGTAGATCGGGCTCTACAGTTGCCAACATTAATCGAGATATATCAGTCATTGGATTCCCTTTAAAAATATTTTTTTAATTCGTACCTTACATATTTATATTTTTTAATTGGTTTTTAACTTTATTCTATTTTAGCTTACTATCTTGACTAATATTATTTCATTTATCTTCTCCAAAAAAGGTATTTAGTCAGAACGCTGAAACCGTCATAAGAGACATGAATAGAGTTTTCTAATGGTATATAGAACATGTATACCGTATTTATTCTAATAGAAACAAGTCTCTATTTGAACCACAGTCCCTAGTAGTATAAACACACAAAATGGGAGAATAATAGAACCATTGTGAATCTATTAGGATAAATACGGTATCTATAAAATATTAATCCCAAAAGCACGCTAGGACGACAAGATTGTAACAACCATTGTAACAAACTTATACTATTATGTATCTTTCAATTCAGAACATAACTTGCTCCACATTAGTTTTTTAAAAATTTATTAGCCTATATCTGAGTAATATATCTTTGACAGAGATTAGTCTAAAAGATTACTATAATTATTTAGTTTTATATACCTATAGTTGCTAATTGCCAGTCTATAAAAGCTGCAAGTCTGTTTGGATTATTGTTATACCATAACAAATTATTGTTCCACAAATCCCCATGTGTAAGGATTTCAGAAATCCCTTGAAAATTAATTTTTATACTCAAAAATTTGTAATAAAGTTTGAAAAATATTATTGAACATAAAACAGGGTAGACTTATCCACAATTTTAGACATAAGAAGTACCGTACCATAATTATTTTCGCATTTTTCTTTCATCCATTTAACAAAATCTGGTTTCATAACTATATTTCCAATTATTTTAAAAGGTTCCACAATATCTTCTAAAAATACTTTAATTTAATTTTGAGAGATAATTTAATCAAAAACCATCAAGTTCCATAATTTGTTCAATCATTGCTGAACCAAATTCTTCACTACTCTGTCCCCACATTTCTTCTATTGTTACAAAATTTTTTTGCCATTTTTCCTTAATTTTAGGTAAAGACAAATAAGCATGTAAATGTGCCAAATATCTGACAACTTCCATTATCTACATATATTTATTTTTTAAAAATATTATAAAACAGGGTTCGGATTCGTTACTTATTTTGAGTACAGTACTTACGTAAATTCCCGACGTTTTTGGGCCGGGAAGTCCCAGTTGCTGAAATCAAAATTAAAATTTCATCATGAGTTTTCTAAATAATTCCCTAAATCGGGAATTTATTTTTTGTCATTAGGATCCTCGCTAAAAATCTCTAATACTAGGTTCTATATTTGAATAAAATAAAATCTCTACATTAAAAATTAATCATGTATTTCCTATAATAAAGCCCCATAGAGCTTTATTTTTCAATTATCCCAAAGCGGATTCTAATTCAAAGTGTGGTTATATTTCAGATTGGGACTCTATTATATGAATACGGTAAATTTTATTTACTTGTATTTCATTTAATCCTCTAGTTAAAGGTGTAATATGTGTATTCTCTGTCAAATCCTCCATCAAAATCACTCCTTGTGGCCCGAGCTTATTAAGCTTATCGTCTTCTTTATTTTCCTCTTCTCTACAATTTTTTGTAAAATAAATTTTTGGTATAGGCAAAGGGGGATTTTCAATATTATCCATAATTTTATAAAATACACATTCGTTTTGATGCATTCTTTTAAAGATTGCCATTGATTCCTAAAAAGTAGCAAAATATTTTTTGTATAGGACGACCCGGATTCAACTATTTTAAACATAGTTATAGCTCGGCGGAAACTTGACCTTAAAGTACTTTGGCCTGCTTCCTTTTTTACCAGTACTCATGGGTGCTCAGTAGTACCGACAGTGTCGAAAAAGTACCAAAAAATACCGAGTCATTTAGATTATCGCGGTAGTATTGAACTCTGCCTAATACTAGTTTTTAAACAGTTGAGCTTCGGCTCCCTCAAGTTCATACTCTTGCTCAGGCACTGGAGTTTAAAAATCTACGCTCCGGCTACTTATTTTTTTCGGAGGAGTCGGCTTTTTAGATAGCTCAAGGCTTCTTAGATATCTCAAGATACTCGGCACTGGCTGGCAGCACTAGAACGCTTCGGATATGGCTTTAATTATTGGGATAATTAATAGGTAAATATTTATAAAAAAGTTAACAGTTTCAAAAAATTTTTCTAAATTCTTTCTTTATCTTTGTTTGATTAACAAATTTAGAACATTTAGGATTTAAATCGTCCAACTAAAATGTTCAATTATTACCTTTATCGCAGGATTAACTTTCGGATCTGTTATTTGATCATTGATTTCTTTATTATTATCATTTTCTATTTCCAATTTTTCTCTAAATTTTAACATAACTTTTTCCAATCTTTCTTTTCCAAAAAAATGTTCTAAAAGTATTTCAATCCTCTCATCAGCAAAAATTTTTAAAATTAAAGAAAATTTGTTTGGAAAATTTTTTGTTTTGTTGTTAATTCCATTTGTATATTTCATATTAATTATCAACCGAAATAATCTTGAAGTAAAGCCTTTGCCATCATTTATGTCTATTGCTTCGATCTTTAAAATTTTTTAATTTTATGTTTTTCCTTATTTATAATTTGTTTTTTTTTGTTAGACCAATAATTTTACCAGCCCTTCAAACTTGAAGGGTAGGGAGACTTTAAGGGTAGGGAGACTTAAGGGTAGGGAGACTTACAGATATATCGGGATTGCACGGAAAAAATAACCTCTTGCGTATCTATCAGTGATACTGCCGTCCCGATTCCTGAAACAGGGAATTCCCGACGTTTTTTAGTCGGCAAGATCCCTGATATAAAAAACTTCGGGAATTCCCAAATTCTGTGAATCGGGATTTGCAGATTGCGGCTGCGGAAATTTTTTCATTTACGTCCATCCCTTATCAGAACCGCAGGATCTCACCTTTATAATAGAGATTTTTTTATAAATGTTATTAAAAATTTAACCTAAAATTTTTTAATTTTTACCTTCTCAACGAATCCTCCATTTTCTAAAATACTTCTAAATTCAATACTTCCATTAGCCAATTCATTAATTATATAACCAAAAGTAATCCAATTGTATTCTAATATATATTTTAATTTTAATTTTGGGTTAATAAATTTATCAAAATTAGAATTATTTTTGTTTTCCTCTTCACAACAATTATTTGAAATAATTAAATTTGAAGGAATTGAATTATTTATTTGGATATTATTTGTCATTTTAATTTAGGAAGAACTATTTAATTTAATTAAAATTGTTAACTAATATTTTAAACTATTAAATTATTTATTAAATTAATAACTACGTAGATATCATATATCTGGAAAGAGCCTTTTTTCTTTATTAATTTTGGAGAAGGGTCTTTCCTTATTAATTTAAAAAAATCGGAAGACCGAGGCTATCTTTCGTGATAGATTTGTTAATTTAAATGAAAAATGCCTAACACTATCCATTTTGCTATCTCTGCTTATCAGGGCTATCGAAGGATATAAAGTTCATGTGAATTGGATCAAGCCCAAAAAAGTTATAGCCTATCTAAGTCGGCATGCACGTTTGTGGGCTTATAGCGGATAATTACCGAGAGTTATTATTTCGGCCAGTTCTGACAGGTATGCGTTTCGACCAAAACTCCAGCCCAACTTTTTTCCTTATTCCGTCTCATCCCTGATCCTTATGAATTAAAAATCAAAATATTTTAGCATAAAATTAGAAAGTATTTTTTATAATAAACTAAGACTATAGAGATTCTTAAAGTTTTATTTACAAAAATACTTATAAGAAAAGAAGAAATGAACGAAATCAATTTGTAATTGTAGTTTGTTAATATTTATTTTTAACGTTTAAATTAAGTGAGGAAAAATTTTTTGGTGCAATCACAAAGTACATGTTTGAAAAATATTAAGAAGCTTAGTACTATATTCAATTTTTATGTTAAAAATAAAATAGTTAAAGTTAAAGACTAGATAATTTTTTTAAATGATTAATATTAATAAATAACGAAATAAAAATTTTTAATTAAAGCTACACGAGACAAAAAAATAATTTGAAAAATAGATAAGAATTATAATAAATAACTTGATAAATAAATTGAGGGACTAACTATAAATGAAACAAAAAATTTAAGTACATATATGATAATATAAAAAATGAAGTATCTTGTTTTATGGAATAATCGCTTTGGTTGATGATTCAAGTTGCTCTAGATATTAACTTCTGATCACATAGCCAGTTGATCTTAGTTAAACCTAGAACGCAGTGTCAAAATATTATAAGAGTAGTAAATGGTCAGGCACCGTCGTTGCGCGGTAAAATTTCGCGCAACGAATTCAAGGTTTTGAGCGAGTCGGGAGGGGAGGGGTCCGAGAGCGGTTAGCCTGTGCCTAAAGGAGGGGTTGAGTGGACAACACAATTGAGGGAGAGGTTTTATGGGAGGGGTTGATTTAATGTGAGTTGTATGAGGTAAACCCTCTCTAATAAAACGGCACATTATTAATAATTAAAAAAATAATTAGTTTAATTAGTTAAATTTTAATAGTACGTCAGGGAACATTTAAACTGACTTTGAGCGGAGGTTAATAAGTAGGATTATATTAATGATATAATTTTATTATTAATTTGTAAAAATGGGCGGAGTTTCAATTAGATATCTTTTAAAAATGAAATCCGTTAAATTTGAGTAATCATTCTTAAATAATATATCAACCCCTCCCGACTCGCTCAAAACCTTTGAATTCGTTGCGCGAAATTTTACCGCGCAACGACGGTGCCTGACCATTTACTACTTATAAGCACCCCTAGTTTTTTGAATAAAAACATTGTTAAAGTTAAAATATCATAGTTTAAAATTTATATGACTTCTGATACACATTCAAAGAGAAAAAAGAATCATTGACAAATTAAATATGGATAGTTGAGAAAATAAATGAAATCTGCTTAAAACGACCGTCTGATAAATACCTAAAGCACCACTTATGTAGATTAAATTTAGGTATTCTTCAGCAGAATTCATATCTTTCAGCAGAATTCATCCTTATTTCATAAGGCTGAATTAATGCAAGGTTGGTTCGATTGGTTACTGCTTTTAGTATTTGTTAGGTAAAGGTCTGTTCTTAATAACCAGAAAGTTTTGAGTCGCTCCGATGCTCATTCGTTCGAGAATGGGAGAAAATCTCACACGAGGAGGTGCGAACTTTTACCAAAAATTCTTCCAAGCAACTTTTACTCTGTATCCAAACAAGGGGTGGGAACTTCGAAAATTCTTGATTATACTTGTTCCATGGTTATATTTCTATCATTTAAATTTCATTTGATCTCAATATCTTTAATGTGAATAAAGATATGCAATAAAATGTTTGTCCTAAACTTTTCTTGTCACCCTGTATACAAAAAATATTTATTTTACATTATCATTTTTATTTTTTAATATTTAAAACTTAAAATAATTTTTACCATTTTAAACATTTTTTTTACTTTAAAATTGATTTTTAATCCTTCACCAAGTGGAGTTAGCAAACAATAATTTTCATTCCCTCAAACATTAACTACTCTCTAACTATAATTCCTCTTTTTCCTATTTTTTTACACACCACAATAAGGCTCTAACGAAAAATTTTCGCAATCAATTTTCATTTAATTTTTTTGTTAAAATGTCTAGTCTTTTTATTTTCGATTTTTTTTTAATTCTAGTATATTTTCCAAGGTTAACTAAAACAATAATAATTTTTATTTTCTATTTCGAATTATCCAAAAAAGTGAAAAGCATACAAAAAAAATCTAGTTAATTCCTAAGGCTGAATATTTAGGGGGGCGACGTGATAAAATGGATAACCACAAGTCCGTTGTTTTAAAGATGTTTGTGTCAAGATATTGAACCAAAAATCTCGGTCCGGGTTCTTATATTTTCCTTTATGTTAAAAAATTTCATATTTCAGTCCATATTTCGGCTTTTAATCTATATTTAAGGCCATATTTTTCGATTGATATTCCATATAAATTCGATCTCTTTTACAAATAAATTTATCAATTCATTACGAGTTCGACGTTCGGCGCATTTTTTCCGAGCTTTTTCTTCAATTCGGTTCGTTTTCGAGTTTTTCAAGCATGAGTTTTATCGGGTCGACTCATACGAGTCTTTTCGAACAGAAAATTCTCCACTCGAATAGTTCTTGAGTTGATTCGAGCGACTGGTTATTATCTCATTTTTATAAACCTATTTCAATGTTTATTTCTTTTAATAATTGATTGATAATTTTTTCCTCTTAAAATAAATATGTATTCCTTTTTTTAAATAAATATTTATTTTTGAGATATTGAATGAGAAAATGAAGGAGAATATTTTTTTACAATTAAAAAAATTAATTAATTAATCAAAAATTTGTATTTTATGTTCTTATTTTATTTAATTAAAAGACCTCAACTTCTAATTAAAAAACATTTATTTTATTCATTTTTTCTTCTTTTTTAATTATTTTATTAATTTATTATGAAGAATCAAATGTTGGATTTGTTGTTAATTTATATGGAAATTATTATACAAAAACGGTTTACAGAAAGATTGATATTGTACCCAAACAAAGTGAGGAGAAATAAACTTATTTAACAACACTTTTCGGGAAATTGTCTGATTAAGTAGACTTTAATACATGGTGACCCAAAAGTAACCGGACACATTTTTATGACAACTTTATTCAAATTAAAGATAACGAGATTAAATAAAGCTTAAATGATAGAAAAATAAATTAGAAAGAATAAAAAACAAGACTTTTTGAAATTCCCACCCTTTGCTTGGATAAATATTTAAAGGCGTGTGGAAAATTTTTTGGACAATATGTTACGACCCCGGTTACGTAGAGGAAGCTAACAGAAACGTTTATTGCACAAAGAAATACAAAGCAGGCGAAGGTTGGGGTAGGAAGAAGAACTAAAACTGAGACCACGAACTAACTATTGGCTGGGCTTTTATACTAACACTTTAAGGGCTGACGCCCATACACAACACCTCCCCCCTTAAAAAAAGGTTCGGCTTCACTTAAAGCCGAAGCTTTACAATATACTAACACTTTCCAGCCAAACAACAAACAAAAAATACATACAATAATTTTGGGGGAATAAGGACAATGGGAACAAAAAATACATACAACATTACAAAAAAATATACAACAACAATATTATCACAAAATTTTATATATGTGGCTCATCTATGTCTCCATATTATTATCGTCTTCAACATCTTTCATATTTGGATTGTTCCCGCTTTTGTCCTTCATCTTTGACTTGATCCTCTTGGAGTTGTCCACACTGCTATCACTCGATGAAGTTACACTGCTTTCACTGGACACTTTTTCTTCACTAATATTCATATTCCGAATATCTTCACTCAACAATTTCTTTTTATTGTTCCACTCATCTCGACGGATCTCTTTAAATGTCCGGGTCACAATACTCTTCAACTCTGACACTTTGATTTTCCATGCATTTTCCGTCTTTCTCACTACTTCTCCATGAAGCCACTCGATTTTACCACTTCTTTTATTGGTATTCTTCACTTTCACTTTTGTGCCGTTCGGAAAAGCATTTTTTTGTATCTTGAAATGGTGCCTTCTTTTTATTCCACTTTTGGTACTTGGGCTTTTGATTCCGACTTGACACTTCTTTCAATCCAGGCAACCCTAAGATACACACTTCACTATGCACTAGATGGAACTCCATAAAGACGTCTTTGTCTTTCACTCTCACTTTGCTTCTGAATTTTCCTTCAATTTCAACTTTGTTGTCACCCAGCCCAATACCACTGTAATTCACTTTTTCAATTGTTGGCTGTCCAATACTTTTCCACACTTCACTGGTGACAACATTGATCTGCGATGCAGTGTCTACAATCATTTCTACACTAAGTTCTCCAAACTTCACTTTTTGCTTTATCCACTCTTCTTTTTCCACACTTTGCATTGGATCGAAGATGTCCAGAATTGCACAATATGGAGAACCTGAATGATTATTATCATTACTCCACTGCCTTTTTGGCTGATACTGATTATTTTTCAAGAACTTACAATGCATACGCCAGTGACCAAAACGTCCACAATGACTACACTTTTTCTCAATAACATTTTGCTGATACTTGACGTTTGGTTTGGACCACTGTTTTTTGCACTCACTTCCAATTTCACTTTTACTCTTTTCACAACATTTCACTTTTTCCACTGTGTTGACTGTCGGCACTTCTTTTTTTACTTCACTATTTTTCTCCTTGACAATATACATGGCTTCACTTTTATTTGCCAAATATGCCCGACACTCTTCAATTATTTCTTTCAAGGTTACTGCCTGTCCTCTTTCACTTTTACTTTCAACACTTTTCATTGCGACTTGTCGAACTGAGGTAGCATCACTAGGCAAACCTGAAATAAAAATAAGAATTTTCAATTCTTCAATCGACAAGGCCATTTCTGCACGCTCACATTGAGCATTCACTACATTCCCAAACTCAACAATATCTTGGAGGTCACTACACTTAACATTTAAGGCCTCGAACCTTTTCAACAATTTGGACCTATGATCACTAAACTCTTTCACTAACTCACTACAGAGTTCGTCAAACTTCATTTCACTCAACTTGGTTGGCAGCATTTTCCTTTCAATTTGGGCATACTCTTCTGGCCCCAATTTACTCAACAACAATCTCACTTTAGAGGATTCTGGCAGGGTTTTACCCTCCACCTCAAAATAGGACCGATGCCTGCCCAACAATGACTCAAAGGTCATACCACTCGTCAAATCAAAAACGAACTCACCAATCATCCCAACTAATTTGCTGTACAATTCGGTGTCGTTCCACTCACTCGGCTTCAAGAGCCTCACTAACATTTTCTCAAAGTGCTCTTGCTGAGCCTTCAACAATTTCTCCACTGTTTTTGCATCCATTTTGCACTCACTAAAAAATAAACTTTTTATCACTACACTTTACACTACAATTTCACTAACCTTTTTGGTTTTACTACACTACAATTGTCCACACACTTTTTTTTAACTGCACACAGCTTACGTTGACGAGCACACAGCTTACGTTGACGAGCGTTGACGAACTGTTGACGAGCTTGGTTCTTTTACAGGAGACCGCGCCAAATCTGTTACGACCCCGGTTACGTAGAGGAAGCTAACAGAAACGTTTATTGCACAAAGAAATACAAAGCAGGCGAAGGTTGGGGTAGGAAGAAGAACTAAAACTGAGACCACGAACTAACTATTGGCTGGGCTTTTATACTAACACTTTAAGGGCTGACGCCCATACACAACACAATATCAAGATCTTTTGGCTATGGATCTTTTGAAATTTAGAAATGATTAAAAGACCAAAAAAGTCACACACACGCGTTGACTCAAATGAGATATACATACTACCTTTAATTAAAAAATATATTACATGTTTAGATCATTTCGAAAAGATTTGGGTAATTGTTGTTGTTGATAATGCCAAAATTTTGTCAAATTACAACCTTGCACAAAGCACATTAAGATGTTATTGTCAATTGAATGGGTATCCTCTAAAAGTTATTAATACTTCTGAGATGGGAGAGAAGAATAATAATTGTAAACAAAAAGATGTAAGTAAATAAATGTTCAAGTTCGACATTTTAAAATTACCATAAACCGTCCGGGCCAGAGTTTCGGTGAAATCCCGGAAGCCCCGGATTTTATCAAAATACCCGGCTTTACAGGCTACTGTGCTCGGAAAACCAAGTCCATTCACATTGTCGAACTCTAATTAATAAATATAATCTTAAATTAGTTAAGAGTTCTCAAAATATTTCTTTGATTCCTGGAAAAAGGAATTCCGAATATTTCCATGGTTTGTAGCTAGGTAACAGTGGTGTGCCGAAACATAGAAGACGAATACAAAAAATACGAAATTCGGCGATAGACGAAACTGGCACTAAATATTTCCTTATTCTCCAAACGATATTTTCTCTATTATAGCCCCTTGAGCCAAAAACCTTTGTTTCCAAACTTGTTGAAAATAGAATGACCGCCTATTCTATTAAAGGAAATACGGTCTTTATAATTACAAAAATTTTTTTAAAGTTTTACTTCCAACGTCATTGTATTCTTGCCAATTTTCTTTCTTCTCACTCAACAGATATTAAATTTGCCTTTTTTATGGATGCAGATATTGGTGTTATTAATCCAAATCATTCACTTGAAGAATTTTTGGAAGGAACTAATGATTTTGATTTAATTTTTTATGAAAGGATATTTAATGGGGAAATTATGGCTGGAAGTTATATTTTAAACAATACTCAATTTACTAGAGAATTCCTTTATTTTTGGGCTGATTATTATTTTAAAGTGCCAAATAGTTTTCATGGAACAGATAATGGGGCAATACATGTATGTTTATTTTTATATTTTTGAGAAAAATTTATAAAAGAGAGTTTATTAAAAATAATTTTACGTAAATTTTGATTAGGGTTTGATATTAGGGACGGGAATTATCTTACGGAGAACTGCATGGAGGAGAACGAGGGAAGGGAAGCTCAGGTGAGACCTCCAACGCTCAGAGGAATTCCATTCCCCGGACAAGGGAATCTATCAGTGGCCACGGATACCCGAGGCGATATCAGCCTAATACGGATACGCAAGCTAAAGTCAAATTACCATAAGTTCTCGAACTATTTTTAACTGCTCTTTCAATTGAGGCTGGGGAGGGGGGACATTATTTAAGGAAATATGGTATGCTCAAAATAATTGAATGACATCATTAAAATGGTTCCGTGACTTTTGCGCCGAGAACATTTGCGCCGCGACTTATGCGCCGCGACTTTTGCGCCGCGACTTATGCGCCGAGCGACTTTTGCGCCGGGGGACTTTTGCGCCGCGACTTTTGCGCCGGGCGACTTTTGCGCCGCCACTATCATTAAAAATATATCAATAACTATAGCCGGACCTCACTTTAGTATGGTTGTCGAATAGTTGGAAATCTTCGGATCCGATATCCGAACTGAAAATTTCGGATATCCGGCATTTTTCGGATCCGGATTTTTTAAACAATGGCGGCGCAAATGTCGCGGCGCATAAGTCGCCCGGCGCAAAAGTCGCGGCGCAAGAGTTGCGGCGCAAAAGTCGCCCGGCGCAAAAGTCGCGGCGCATAAGTCGCGGCGCAAATGGGAAGAAAGTAGGGGATGGGGGGGATTGAAAGAGAGTGAGGGTCTTATTTTATTTTTAGAAGGAATTAAAAGAAGTATTGTGGAATTTTTATTTGGGTCATTTACAGATATTTGATCTGCCTAACAATAAATTATTTTTAGTATCACAAAACCAAAATAAATTCAAACAATTCAATTAATTATCAACCAACCTATTCTTTGGTTCCGCAATTTTTAAAAGAGAGAAGAATGGATGATAAAAGAATTGTACAGTTTAGAGATTTTGGATTGTTAGTTTAATCTATTTTTTATCAAAATAATTAATTTAAAGAGGGAATATATCTGTTGATAGTTTTGTTTTTGGAATTTCCCGTGGAGGTTAGTAAAGTCGCGGCGCAAATGGGAAGAAAGTAGGGGTTATGTAGATTAAAACCACTTATGTAGATTAAATTTAGGTATTCTTCAGCAGAATTCATATCTTTCAGCAGAATTCATCCTTATTTCATAAGGCTGAATTAATGCAAGGTTGGTTCGATTGGTTACTGCTTTTAGTATTTGTTAGGTAAAGGTCTGTTCTTAATAACCAGAAAGTTTTGAGTCGCTCCGATGCTCATTCGTTCGAGAATGGGAGAAAATCTCACACGAGGAGGTGCGAACTTTTACCAAAAATTCTTCCAAGCAACTTTTACTCTGTATCCAAACAAGGGGTGGGAACTTCGAAAATTCTTGATTATACTTGTTCCATGGTTATATTTCTATCATTTAAATTTCATTTGATCTCAATATCTTTAATGTGAATAAAGATATGCAATAAAATGTTTGTCCTAAACTTTTCTTGTCACCCTGTATACAAAAAATATTTATTTTACATTATCATTTTTATTTTTTAATATTTAAAACTTAAAATAATTTTTACCATTTTAAACATTTTTTTTACTTTAAAATTGATTTTTAATCCTTCACCAAGTGGAGTTAGCAAACAATAATTTTCATTCCCTCAAACATTAACTACTCTCTAACTATAATTCCTCTTTTTCCTATTTTTTTACACACCACAATAAGGCTCTAACGAAAAATTTTCGCAATCAATTTTCATTTAATTTTTTTGTTAAAATGTCTAGTCTTTTTATTTTCGATTTTTTTTTAATTCTAGTATATTTTCCAAGGTTAACTAAAACAATAATAATTTTTATTTTCTATTTCGAATTATCCAAAAAAGTGAAAAGCATACAAAAAAAATCTAGTTAATTCCTAAGGCTGAATATTTAGGGGGGCGACGTGATAAAATGGATAACCACAAGTCCGTTGTTTTAAAGATGTTTGTGTCAAGATATTGAACCAAAAATCTCGGTCCGGGTTCTTATATTTTCCTTTATGTTAAAAAATTTCATATTTCAGTCCATATTTCGGCTTTTAATCTATATTTAAGGCCATATTTTTCGATTGATATTCCATATAAATTCGATCTCTTTTACAAATAAATTTATCAATTCATTACGAGTTCGACGTTCGGCGCATTTTTTCCGAGCTTTTTCTTCAATTCGGTTCGTTTTCGAGTTTTTCAAGCATGAGTTTTATCGGGTCGACTCATACGAGTCTTTTCGAACAGAAAATTCTCCACTCGAATAGTTCTTGAGTTGATTCGAGCGACTGGTTATTATCTCATTTTTATAAACCTATTTCAATGTTTATTTCTTTTAATAATTGATTGATAATTTTTTCCTCTTAAAATAAATATGTATTCCTTTTTTTAAATAAATATTTATTTTTGAGATATTGAATGAGAAAATGAAGGAGAATATTTTTTTACAATTAAAAAAATTAATTAATTAATCAAAAATTTGTATTTTATGTTCTTATTTTATTTAATTAAAAGACCTCAACTTCTAATTAAAAAACATTTATTTTATTCATTTTTTCTTCTTTTTTAATTATTTTATTAATTTATTATGAAGAATCAAATGTTGGATTTGTTGTTAATTTATATGGAAATTATTATACAAAAACGGTTTACAGAAAGATTGATATTGTACCCAAACAAAGTGAGGAGAAATAAACTTATTTAACAACACTTTTCGGGAAATTGTCTGATTAAGTAGACTTTAATACATGGTGACCCAAAAGTAACCGGACACATTTTTATGACAACTTTATTCAAATTAAAGATAACGAGATTAAATAAAGCTTAAATGATAGAAAAATAAATTAGAAAGAATAAAAAACAAGACTTTTTGAAATTCCCACCCTTTGCTTGGATAAATATTTAAAGGCGTGTGGAAAATTTTTTGGACAATATGTTACGACCCCGGTTACGTAGAGGAAGCTAACAGAAACGTTTATTGCACAAAGAAATACAAAGCAGGCGAAGGTTGGGGTAGGAAGAAGAACTAAAACTGAGACCACGAACTAACTATTGGCTGGGCTTTTATACTAACACTTTAAGGGCTGACGCCCATACACAACACCTCCCCCCTTAAAAAAAGGTTCGGCTTCACTTAAAGCCGAAGCTTTACAATATACTAACACTTTCCAGCCAAACAACAAACAAAAAATACATACAATAATTTTGGGGGAATAAGGACAATGGGAACAAAAAATACATACAACATTACAAAAAAATATACAACAACAATATTATCACAAAATTTTATATATGTGGCTCATCTATGTCTCCATATTATTATCGTCTTCAACATCTTTCATATTTGGATTGTTCCCGCTTTTGTCCTTCATCTTTGACTTGATCCTCTTGGAGTTGTCCACACTGCTATCACTCGATGAAGTTACACTGCTTTCACTGGACACTTTTTCTTCACTAATATTCATATTCCGAATATCTTCACTCAACAATTTCTTTTTATTGTTCCACTCATCTCGACGGATCTCTTTAAATGTCCGGGTCACAATACTCTTCAACTCTGACACTTTGATTTTCCATGCATTTTCCGTCTTTCTCACTACTTCTCCATGAAGCCACTCGATTTTACCACTTCTTTTATTGGTATTCTTCACTTTCACTTTTGTGCCGTTCGGAAAAGCATTTTTTTGTATCTTGAAATGGTGCCTTCTTTTTATTCCACTTTTGGTACTTGGGCTTTTGATTCCGACTTGACACTTCTTTCAATCCAGGCAACCCTAAGATACACACTTCACTATGCACTAGATGGAACTCCATAAAGACGTCTTTGTCTTTCACTCTCACTTTGCTTCTGAATTTTCCTTCAATTTCAACTTTGTTGTCACCCAGCCCAATACCACTGTAATTCACTTTTTCAATTGTTGGCTGTCCAATACTTTTCCACACTTCACTGGTGACAACATTGATCTGCGATGCAGTGTCTACAATCATTTCTACACTAAGTTCTCCAAACTTCACTTTTTGCTTTATCCACTCTTCTTTTTCCACACTTTGCATTGGATCGAAGATGTCCAGAATTGCACAATATGGAGAACCTGAATGATTATTATCATTACTCCACTGCCTTTTTGGCTGATACTGATTATTTTTCAAGAACTTACAATGCATACGCCAGTGACCAAAACGTCCACAATGACTACACTTTTTCTCAATAACATTTTGCTGATACTTGACGTTTGGTTTGGACCACTGTTTTTTGCACTCACTTCCAATTTCACTTTTACTCTTTTCACAACATTTCACTTTTTCCACTGTGTTGACTGTCGGCACTTCTTTTTTTACTTCACTATTTTTCTCCTTGACAATATACATGGCTTCACTTTTATTTGCCAAATATGCCCGACACTCTTCAATTATTTCTTTCAAGGTTACTGCCTGTCCTCTTTCACTTTTACTTTCAACACTTTTCATTGCGACTTGTCGAACTGAGGTAGCATCACTAGGCAAACCTGAAATAAAAATAAGAATTTTCAATTCTTCAATCGACAAGGCCATTTCTGCACGCTCACATTGAGCATTCACTACATTCCCAAACTCAACAATATCTTGGAGGTCACTACACTTAACATTTAAGGCCTCGAACCTTTTCAACAATTTGGACCTATGATCACTAAACTCTTTCACTAACTCACTACAGAGTTCGTCAAACTTCATTTCACTCAACTTGGTTGGCAGCATTTTCCTTTCAATTTGGGCATACTCTTCTGGCCCCAATTTACTCAACAACAATCTCACTTTAGAGGATTCTGGCAGGGTTTTACCCTCCACCTCAAAATAGGACCGATGCCTGCCCAACAATGACTCAAAGGTCATACCACTCGTCAAATCAAAAACGAACTCACCAATCATCCCAACTAATTTGCTGTACAATTCGGTGTCGTTCCACTCACTCGGCTTCAAGAGCCTCACTAACATTTTCTCAAAGTGCTCTTGCTGAGCCTTCAACAATTTCTCCACTGTTTTTGCATCCATTTTGCACTCACTAAAAAATAAACTTTTTATCACTACACTTTACACTACAATTTCACTAACCTTTTTGGTTTTACTACACTACAATTGTCCACACACTTTTTTTTAACTGCACACAGCTTACGTTGACGAGCACACAGCTTACGTTGACGAGCGTTGACGAACTGTTGACGAGCTTGGTTCTTTTACAGGAGACCGCGCCAAATCTGTTACGACCCCGGTTACGTAGAGGAAGCTAACAGAAACGTTTATTGCACAAAGAAATACAAAGCAGGCGAAGGTTGGGGTAGGAAGAAGAACTAAAACTGAGACCACGAACTAACTATTGGCTGGGCTTTTATACTAACACTTTAAGGGCTGACGCCCATACACAACACAATATCAAGATCTTTTGGCTATGGATCTTTTGAAATTTAGAAATGATTAAAAGACCAAAAAAGTCACACACACGCGTTGACTCAAATGAGATATACATACTACCTTTAATTAAAAAATATATTACATGTTTAGATCATTTCGAAAAGATTTGGGTAATTGTTGTTGTTGATAATGCCAAAATTTTGTCAAATTACAACCTTGCACAAAGCACATTAAGATGTTATTGTCAATTGAATGGGTATCCTCTAAAAGTTATTAATACTTCTGAGATGGGAGAGAAGAATAATAATTGTAAACAAAAAGATGTAAGTAAATAAATGTTCAAGTTCGACATTTTAAAATTACCATAAACCGTCCGGGCCAGAGTTTCGGTGAAATCCCGGAAGCCCCGGATTTTATCAAAATACCCGGCTTTACAGGCTACTGTGCTCGGAAAACCAAGTCCATTCACATTGTCGAACTCTAATTAATAAATATAATCTTAAATTAGTTAAGAGTTCTCAAAATATTTCTTTGATTCCTGGAAAAAGGAATTCCGAATATTTCCATGGTTTGTAGCTAGGTAACAGTGGTGTGCCGAAACATAGAAGACGAATACAAAAAATACGAAATTCGGCGATAGACGAAACTGGCACTAAATATTTCCTTATTCTCCAAACGATATTTTCTCTATTATAGCCCCTTGAGCCAAAAACCTTTGTTTCCAAACTTGTTGAAAATAGAATGACCGCCTATTCTATTAAAGGAAATACGGTCTTTATAATTACAAAAATTTTTTTAAAGTTTTACTTCCAACGTCATTGTATTCTTGCCAATTTTCTTTCTTCTCACTCAACAGATATTAAATTTGCCTTTTTTATGGATGCAGATATTGGTGTTATTAATCCAAATCATTCACTTGAAGAATTTTTGGAAGGAACTAATGATTTTGATTTAATTTTTTATGAAAGGATATTTAATGGGGAAATTATGGCTGGAAGTTATATTTTAAACAATACTCAATTTACTAGAGAATTCCTTTATTTTTGGGCTGATTATTATTTTAAAGTGCCAAATAGTTTTCATGGAACAGATAATGGGGCAATACATGTATGTTTATTTTTATATTTTTGAGAAAAATTTATAAAAGAGAGTTTATTAAAAATAATTTTACGTAAATTTTGATTAGGGTTTGATATTAGGGACGGGAATTATCTTACGGAGAACTGCATGGAGGAGAACGAGGGAAGGGAAGCTCAGGTGAGACCTCCAACGCTCAGAGGAATTCCATTCCCCGGACAAGGGAATCTATCAGTGGCCACGGATACCCGAGGCGATATCAGCCTAATACGGATACGCAAGCTAAAGTCAAATTACCATAAGTTCTCGAACTATTTTTAACTGCTCTTTCAATTGAGGCTGGGGAGGGGGGACATTATTTAAGGAAATATGGTATGCTCAAAATAATTGAATGACATCATTAAAATGGTTCCGTGACTTTTGCGCCGAGAACATTTGCGCCGCGACTTATGCGCCGCGACTTTTGCGCCGCGACTTATGCGCCGAGCGACTTTTGCGCCGGGGGACTTTTGCGCCGCGACTTTTGCGCCGGGCGACTTTTGCGCCGCCACTATCATTAAAAATATATCAATAACTATAGCCGGACCTCACTTTAGTATGGTTGTCGAATAGTTGGAAATCTTCGGATCCGATATCCGAACTGAAAATTTCGGATATCCGGCATTTTTCGGATCCGGATTTTTTAAACAATGGCGGCGCAAATGTCGCGGCGCATAAGTCGCCCGGCGCAAAAGTCGCGGCGCAAGAGTTGCGGCGCAAAAGTCGCCCGGCGCAAAAGTCGCGGCGCATAAGTCGCGGCGCAAATGGGAAGAAAGTAGGGGATGGGGGGGATTGAAAGAGAGTGAGGGTCTTATTTTATTTTTAGAAGGAATTAAAAGAAGTATTGTGGAATTTTTATTTGGGTCATTTACAGATATTTGATCTGCCTAACAATAAATTATTTTTAGTATCACAAAACCAAAATAAATTCAAACAATTCAATTAATTATCAACCAACCTATTCTTTGGTTCCGCAATTTTTAAAAGAGAGAAGAATGGATGATAAAAGAATTGTACAGTTTAGAGATTTTGGATTGTTAGTTTAATCTATTTTTTATCAAAATAATTAATTTAAAGAGGGAATATATCTGTTGATAGTTTTGTTTTTGGAATTTCCCGTGGAGGTTAGTAAACCTATTTTTGAATTTTAGCTTTTTTGAATTATTAAAGGAGATTTGAATTGGCTTGAAAGGGCATTTTTTGTTGATAAAATAAGAAATATTGTTGATCAATTTCCAAAATTTAATGTTACGGTCTTTGATTATGATTCGACTATTTATGATTTAATTTTGGGAGTTAAGGTAATTATTAGATTTTTAAGCAATAATCTGAAAAATAAATCTGAATCCTTAATTGACCAACTAATGTACAGGGTGACCCAAAGTAACCGGGCTCAAATAAATAGCCTGTGTAATCATTGTTCAACCCTCGCTATATGTAGTGATTATTTGAGAGGGAAATTTGTTGACTAGAAATTTGTTGAGATTATTTTCAAAATTTAAAATCTTAAGTTAAAAAATAGGACCGAAAATAGCAAAAGATTGGATGGGACTTGATGCGGGATGTTAACCGATGAATTCTAATTTGATCGGACTGGGTGTGTTGTAAGTAGAGTTGATCGAGACGAGACCGATACCGATACCGAGGATTGAGATTTTTATTCAAGAATTCAGCTCTGTTTAGTCGCTAATTTTACCCCTTATATTTGGAAATAATCTGATAATTTATATAAAAAATTATTTTCAAGCAAACTATAAATATTCCCGATTTTATTTTCTAATTTTAGACCGAAATGCTCAAAGCAGTTTTTGTAACTTTAACGTGTATGGCTTTAATCTGTTTTTTCGTCATTCCCACATTACGATGTACAGCAATTGCTACTTTTTCCGTTCTTTCAATTTCTTATAGTTAATTTTATAAAAATTTAAAAATATATTTGAAATTTTAAGCATTGTTGGGCACGCTCGGTTGGTGTGGTCAAGACATAGACCCGGTAAATATTTAATTTTTTATCTCAATATTTTAGTAATTAAGGTTTATATTTATTTGAAGTCATATTTGACACCGGGTCGGAGCCAGGAAATGGCTTTCCGGACCACTGTGATCCACGATCGCAGGCTGGATTCACAAAGTTTTTTCGGGCCAACGAGCCGTTCCCAAGACAGGGGTTCCGAGTGTTGTTGACATATGCTTGCAGATATTAAAAAACAAGAGGTTTAAGGGTAATATGGATCATTATGAAAGAAAGCCTGGGTTCTTGGTCAAGCGATTTGTGAATGCCTAACTTGTAATATCTCAAATAAAAATTTAAGAAAATTTAAAGGTTACAATGATTAATTTATTAATGGCTATCGGTCTTTCTGTTGATTTCTCAGCTCACATTTGTTATCATTTTGATGTTTTGCAAGAAAAACAAAAAGAAATTCAAACAGAATCTCCTATAAAAAATATTAAAATTTTTGAACAAAAAGAACTTGAAAAAAGGATAGAACAAATACTTGAAATTGTTGGTAGGCCTATGCTTGAGGTATAAATTTCGATTTTAATTAAAAAATAATTTTATGTAAAGGCTGTTATCTCAACAATAATTTGTATTTTCCCACTATTCTTTATTTCAATTGAAATTATTGCTTCGTTTGCTCGAACTGTTTTATTTTTAGGGTAATTTAATTTTTATATAAAGGGATCTCGAACAAAAATCACAATTATAGCGATTGACTTTTTAACGAGACATATGAGGAGGCAACTGAAGATTATTCCATTTATTCCTTTTTATTTCTTTACAAGTTTAATCCTGGGATTAAATGGATTAAGAGCGATGGGGTATTAGGCGGGAATAAGATAGGTATCGGTGGATTTTAAATGGATTAAGATGAATAAACAAGGGATATCGTAGATTAAAGGATATACCTAGATATCAGGAAATTTGGAGGATATCGGGTGTATATTCAGAGGTGGAGTGTATATTATGTATAATTGTATATTCAGGGGTGGACTCTATGAGTTTCTAGTACAGATAACTGTTTTTACCTATTAGGCTTGGAAAATCTCTCATTTCCAAGCCTAATCGACAAGAGCTTTTCAACCCCATGTTAAACATTCCTAAAATAAAAGTTAATCTTTAATTTATTAGAATTATTGGCACAATTCATGGTCTATTTATTGTACCAGTTTTACTAACATTACAAATAAATGGGCTGAAAAGGAAAAAAGCTGCTGGATTTTCTGAGGGAAATTTATAAGATATTCAAAATATGTACATAAATTTTTAAATAATATTTTAAAGATTAATTTTTTAAAGCTTGTTTTTTGACATTTTTTTAATAAATATTCTAATTGTTCACTAAAGAGTATTTTTTGTAATAATCATCGCCGATTTCTTTAAATTGATGCAATGGTTGCTAGGAAAACGTTGCTTTTCATCATTCCAAATTGCGGGCGAAATTTACTTTATTTCTTATGTCATGTCACTTAATTTTAGTCTGGCCTAATTCAATTCTACCGGAATACGATGAAAAAACCTATTAGTACCAGTAACAGTTAGGCAGAACCACACATTGTGTTAATGTCTCTAATTGAGAATGCCACATGGAAAATTACCTAGATGAAATTGTGGGTGAGAGTCTGACCATTGTGAACAAATGAAAGAAAAATAAAAACTAAGTTCTCCAAAGCCTTTGGATTCAGGTTTCGAGGACCATAAATTAATTAGTAAATCTCTCAACAAAATTAATTTTATGCAAAAACGTTATTTTGATTTAAAAATAATGAATTAATTATGTATTTTTAGGAAAGATATCATTTAAATTTTCCGAAACAATTTCTTTAATTCCTCCTTTTGCTAACAATATTTGTTCAATTCCTTCCTTAGTAATTAATGGAAACATTTCAGTTAATTCATTTAAATCTTTTTCTTAAAAATTAATTTTTAAAGTAAAAATTTTATTGTTTTTTATTTAGAATCAAGAAAAATGACTACAAGGTCTATTAAGGGATGTGCCGATAAAAGAATGCCCCATGTTATCCCACAACCCCTGCGTTTGGTAGATTGCGCCCGACCCTTGTGCCTCCAGGCCAGGGATGGGCCGGGTTGAGGAAAAAAGTCGGGTCGGGTTTTCAAAATTTTCTTCGGCTGTACTTTAGTACGTGGGTCCCGGAGTTAATATACAAATGTTATACCATTCGAAAGAGCTAGTCGAGCTGAGTCGAATACCACCAGTTTTAGCCCGAGGAAAAATTTTTGGACTGAGATATAGGTCCCCGAAAATCGAAAAACCAAAGGGGGGAGTGAGCATTTTTTGGGGTGAAAAATTCGAAAATGCAAATGATACCTCATTCGAAAGAGCTCCTCGAGCTGAGTCGAATGACACCAAAATCAACGAAATCTGACTTCATTTGGCCGAGTTATGATCTTTTCTTTTAGCTCCTTACCTATGACATCTGTGGAGATTTTTGCTGCTACGGAGGCCCCAAATACGTCAAGAGCAAGGGAGATAGGAATAGGTTTATGTTACGAGCCCAGACCCACCGCCCGTAGACTCCCCGCGAGGCGCGTGCCACAAAACCCCGCGCGAAGCGCGGGGTTTTGCACAAGCGCCTCGCCGACGATCCATAGGTTTAGGTTTTTGTTTTTTGTGTCATAACTTTGTCTAATCGGGGGTCTGTAACTCGGCCAAATGAAGTCAGATTTCGTTGATTTTGGTGTCATTCGACTCAGCTCGAGGAGCTCTTTCGAATGAGGTATCATTTGCATTTTCGAATTTTTCACCCCAAAAAAGTGCTTGGTCCCCCTATGCTTTTTCAAATTTCAGGGACCTATATCTCGGTCCAAAAATTTTTCCTCGGGCTAAAACTTGTGGCATTCGACTCAGCTCGACTAGCTCTTTCGAATGGTATAACATTTGTATATTAACTCCGGGACCCACGTACTAAAGTGACCCCTTTTCTTCGGATCGGATTTCGGGTCGAAAAAAAGTCCGGGTTTCGGGTTTCGGGTAACCCGGCCCATCCCTGCTCAAGGCATATGATATTTATTTTTAACCCCTATTTGCTCAATAAAGTTAAAACTCGTGAAAAATATGCAAGAGAGACTTTTATTTGGGATTTTTGTTGAGATTCTGTGGAGCATTTGCACCATAATTATGATTAACTTTTTAATATTTAAATTTAATTTACCGTAATCTGAATATTTATGAAATAGATGTTTTGATAAGTCATAAACAAAAGGATTAGCTTTCAAATCCTTCCCAAAATTAGTTTCTACAGAACAAGACTTTATTTGAATATATGGTTTATAACCATCACAATTTTCATTCAACAATATTGGGCTGCCTTTAAAAAAATTTAATTTAACCTAATCTTATTTAGATTTTGGTACTGTTTTTTAATAGTCACGCAAATTCATTTTTATTGTTCAAAAATATGTAATTAAATTTTTAAAATCAAAGTATTTTAAAAATCAGAATTTTTTAAATTGTGATTTTACATATATTCCGTGATCTTGTCGCCCCTTGTTTTGTAAATCAAAATAATTTGGATTAAATTCAATTTCTTATACCCCCTCCTTCTTCTTCCTTGAAATAAAAAAACGGGCACTCGCTCATTTAATCAAATATTTTTATAGAACTTGTCGAGCTGTGTCGAATGACACCTAAATCAACCCCCGGTCTTAATTTTGGGCCGAGATACAGACAAAATCCCTGGACAAAGCGAAGGTGTCTTTCAAATCATCTCGACAAGCTCTTTCGAATGTGCCTCGAATTTTTAGCGAGTATTAATATTTTAGTAAAGAAAAACGAAGGAGTATACTAAATTCAATTTTACTATAATGTTGCGAGATATAAAATAAATTATCAAAATTTTGAATTACCGATTTGTTTTCCATTATGAGTAAAGAAAATATAAGAAAAGTTATTCGTATTTGATGATGGATAAACTAATCCACACCCAAGAATGTCATTGTTATTCCAAAGAATATTTTGAAGATAAAGGGAGCCACTTTGACCTTTTTTATTTTGAACTTTAAACTGGATTTGTTTGCCGCCATAAATACTAAAATTCAAGCTAGCATAACTTTTGCTTGAATTTTCAAGGCCAACATGAATGGTTCTATGATTAATTCGCTCTTCATTAATTTTACTTATATATTTAACTTCAAAATAAAATAATAAATATTTGGAACTATCCATTGGTTTATTAAATGAATTTTCAGCATAAATGGTAGTTGACTTATCAATTCCTTTATAAAAATTTAAAAATTAATTTAAAAATTAATAGTTAAAGGGACATAGTTTACTGATTTCGAAAAACCTGAGGAGTAATACTCTTTCGGTATTTTTGATGTTTGAGAGTTGCAATGTTGGTATCACATTTTAGTTATTATGAATGCGAACAAAATAACTGTAGTTATTCCGTCAAAAAATCCTCGTCAATGTTTTCTCGCGACTAGCAAACTATACCTTTACCAACTAATATTTACCTAAAGGATGACCATAACGTTCATCATTCTTTGGTTCAATATATGCAATATTTTCACCATCAATCAGATTAGCATATCCATTCCCCTTAACACAATTACCAACAGGATTTTCTGTATTGATACATTTGGCATCACAACAATCTTCCGTAAACCAAGGAGCTTCATTACTCTTTTTTTTTAATTTCCTTCCATTTATTTGCAACTTGAACAAAACACGATTGTTTATTCAAACTACTAATTTGGTCCAACTCTTCAGTTTTTTCATTAGGATTTTTTCCAGTTGATCCTTCCATCTTTTTTACAAATTTAAATATTAGAATATGTTAAATGTTCTAGTTTCTTTAGATCTTCTATCCACTGTAATATCCCAAAACGATTTACGGAATTTGGACACACAAACACCGAAAAATCTTGGTGACCATAATTTCTTACCCTTCCAAATCACGCAATATCCTCTTAATCCCTAGATAAGAGATGTAAAGAAGTATTTAATGGGTGGACTTTTTTTTATCAAATACTTAAGTATTTTTGTTATTTTAATTTACTTTTCTATAACTTTGAAGGTATTTACCAAGGGTGGCGCAAGTGCCAAAAAATACGAGACACGAGATTTACGAGATACGAGATTCTCAAAAAATTACGAGAACGAGATAAAAGATAGGAGATCCTTCAAAAAATGCGAGATTTCACGAGATATGAGACATGAGATACGAGACGAACCCTGATGAGTATGACTTGAAAGACTTATATTCTCATAAGATTTGGTGGATATCGTGGATTAGGGTTTATCAGTGCATTTTGAGGATATATGGGATATTAGTTATTCGGAGGCTATAGTTCAAGGGGGATATCGGTGGATCTGGTGTTATATCAAGATTCAAAGGGATTTGTATAAGAATAAATTAAAAGTATAAAATCATTCAAATGACCTAAAACCTCAGATTATCAATTAATTTCGGTTAACCAAAGAATTTTATGAAACTGGAAACCCTATTCTCAATATTCGTGTTATATAATTTTATCAAATTAAGCAAATTTATCTAAAAATGGATCCACAACAAATGTAAATTTTTATTATTTTTCCATTTTTTTCTTAAAATTATAACATCAACAACCAGTCATTTTAAAACTCATATCAATAGTAGAATAAGCCCTGATATTATAAGCACCAATTTTATGCCCATCTTCTAGGTACTGACCTTTGTAGGTCTGAAAAATTATTTAGATTAAATTCGAATATTTAATTTTAAGATTTAATTATTAACCGATACCACCCGTATTTGATTACAAATTTAAACAGTTATCGATTTTGAGTTTTATTTAAAATAGGTTTTTGAGGTTTAATAATTTAAACGACATTTTAAAAAATACAAATTACAAACCAAGCGATATGAACATCTATCAGTAATGCCTGTTTTGAATTCGATCATAGCTTTGAGTATCTCAACATTATCAGTTTCTTTCACTTCGTAACGACACCTATAATTTTGATAATCTCGAATAATTACTTGCATTTTGTTTAATATTTATTTTTTAGATAATATAATTTTCTTAAGAAAATTTTTTGAATAAATTTAGCTGCTTTTAATCTTAAAGTTATTTAAAATTATTCGCTTTTTATCATATATAAAAAATAGCTAGAATATTCAGGTGTTACTGGAGATAAGTGAGGGTCTTTTATTATCAAATTAACAGTAAACAGCAATTTTTTATAAAAACTAAAAATAGACCAAAAATGAGAGATAAAAATGATTTTTTAAAAAATGTATGACATTTTATGAATATTTGTCAATTACATTAGGCATCGGAGTGAACCGTTCATTACCATTATAAATAAAACTATTGCTAATGAAAGAACGGTACTATGCGTTTATATCCCCGCAATTCTGCAAATGTTTGTCCGCACTTTTTTTCATTCCTTCTCCTCATAAAGGATTAGAAATGGTCAAAAACATTCTCTTATATTTATCTTAATATTTTTCTATAAGCGAATATTTGTCTTCCTCTATTTTTACTTGAACATTTTAATCGTTGTGAGAGGAGAAAAAAGTCGAAGAAAAATGTGGGTTAACTTGACCGTTTCTAATCCTTTATGAGGAGAAGGAATGAAAAAAGTGCGGACAAACATTTCCGGAATTGCGGGGATATAAACTCATAGTACCGAAAGAACTTTATAAATAATATTTTTACGACAAAAGGCGTTTATGTCGTAGTGCGACACTTGCGGACCGACTTTTGCGGACCGACCTTTGCGGACGGACATTTGCGGATTGCGGATAGACATAAGCGGATCAGACATTTGCGGACGACATTTGCGGATTGCGGACCGACTTTTGCAGATCGGACATTTGCGGACCGTTTTTGGGGAAAAAAATAAAAAAATTAAATTTAATTTTCGAAAACGAAAAAATATTTAGGTAAGTTTATTATAATATCTTTTCGATCTAACAAGTTAGACAAAGTTGTGATCGTTTATTTTAGTCCTTACCTATTACATCCGTGGAGTTTTTGCCGCTGCGGGGGAAGCTGGGCATGACCATGTCATCGATGATAGGAATAGGATTAAGTTACGAGTCCAGAACTCAGCGATCGTTGACTCCCCGCGAGGCGCGAGCGCAAAATCCTGTGCGAAGCGCAGGGTTTTGCACAAGCGCCTCGCCTAATCTCCATAGGTTTACGTTGACCGTTTTGATAAAAAAAAGTTGCCCGTCGAAAAGATATTAAAATAAACTTAAATATTTTTTTCCGTTTTCGAAAATTAAATTTAATTTTTTAAATTTTTTCCCCAAAAACAGTCCGCAAATGTCCGATCCGCAAAAGTCGGTCCGCAATCCGCAAATGTCGTCCGCAAATGTCTGATCCGCAAATGTCTATCCGCAATCCGCAAATGTCCGTCCGCAAAGGTCGGTCCGCAAAAGTCGGTCCGCAAGTGTCGTACAATCGTTTATGTTTGCCGCTTTATATTTATAAAAATGTTTGAATCAAAAAAAGTGTCGCCGGCGACAAGTCGCCGGCGGAAATCGCATTTTATGTAACCACTAGAAAAAGCGACAAAATCGCGCGCGACATGTCGCCGGCGGAAGTCGCGGTTTATGTAACCACTCAAAAAAGCGACAAAGTCGCGCGCGACAAGACGCCGGCGGAAGTCGCTTTTTATGTAACCACTAGAAAAAAGCGACAAAATCGCGCGCGATTTTTCTCTCCTCTTTTTACATTATCTTTTCTGTCGCGTGTCGCGCGCGATTTTTATGTAACCGTAGCATTAGTTAGTTTAATAAGTTCAATATCAAATAGAGAGAGTTCAACTTAGAACACTTTCAATATGTAATCGGGACATTATATTTTTTAGGCGAAAAATTAGATTTTTTGAATGATAGCTCATTCGAAAGAGCTTCTCAAGCTGATTTCATGCGGTCAGAGCAATCTGACTTGATTGGGCTGAGTTACAGGCCCGTGAATATTGAAACCATAAATTAAACCGAAAAATCGAAAAAAAACTCCAAATAATTCTAACTTATTTATTAATTATTTATACATATTTTGCCACATTCGAACTTTTTACTACCTATTTAAGCCTTCTTTCAGCATATTTAGGTGCCTATTATCAGTAATTTTTAACCTAAAAAAACTCTATAATAATTCAGAAAGACAATTTTTAATAATTTTTAGATAAAAACATCTAAATTTAATTAAAAAATCTTAAAAAATATTATCCATAAAAATTAATATTAAACAAAATGCAAGTAACTATTAAAGAGTTGTGTGGTCGTACTCATGCATTCGAAGTGAAAGTTACAGACAATATTAAAACACTCAAGGCTATGATTGAATTCAAAACAGGAATTCCGACGAGTGAACATCGCTTGGTTTGTAGTTTTAATTTTTATATGTTCTTTATAAGTATGGGTTTTTAATCTGAGGGGACATATTTCAGTCAACAGGCATTTTTACACCTAGAGAGGTAACTCATCTCGACTAATCGAATGACACGCCTTTCGACCCGGTTTGTAGTGGCTTCGACTAAACTACAGAGTAATAGTTTGGAATTCTCCCCCCTTTTTTCACCGTTTTCCCGACCATTTTGAGCTTTTTTTGTTTGATACATAATTTTCATATATCATTCGAAAGAGCTCTACAAGCTTGACCGAAGGATACCATGATTGGCTAGATCTGATCATGGTAATATTGAAACGTCAGACCCTTTTTTTCCTTATAATTTTCACCCTATATTTTTACAAAATGGTTAGGCTGTTTCCTTTCTTCCTTCCAATTTGCCTTTGTAATTTTTGCCTACAATCAAAAAAAAGGATTATTTAATTTTATACAAGTGCAAGTACATGCAAAAAACAAGTAAAAAAGAGAAGAATGGAGAAGTCTGACCATTTTGTAAAAATATGTGGGGAAAATTGGGGAGGAAAAAAGGGGGTTGTACGCTTCAATATTACCCTGATCATTCATAACAAAACTATAAAGCTAAATCCTCGTTGGGAAAACTTTGTGATAATTCAAGTGGATAAAATAAACTGTCACAACATTGTTGACTTATGTCAGTTGTCGTTAATTTTAATGTTATTCGACTCAGCTCGAAGAATCTTTCGAATGATAAATTTGCCATAAAATGAGAAAAACTAGGAAAAACTAGAAAGGTAAAAAAGGAGAGGGGGGGGGGCGAATTCCAAACTATTACCAACTACATACAAAAAATCATAAATTATATTGAATAATACCCATTTTGTCAAAAATTTTTTAGTTATACAGGGGTCGACAACTCGATGAGAATGAAACTATTAGTGCTTGTAACATTATGAATAATACAATAGTTCATATGATTCAACGATTTCGTGGTTGTTGATGTTATAATTTCGGGAGAGAAATAATTTGATTTACATTTGTTTTAATACATCTTCAAATAAATTTGTTGAATTTAACAATGTTTAGAATACGGTTCTCAGACTTTTTTTTTATACAAAAAATTAAATATGTATAACTGAATAATTTACAAATAAAATTGAATTTGGATCGAGGAGTTTCTATTTTATTATTTTACATTTATTTGTGTTCGGTAAAGAAAAAAGAATGGATATTGTTAATTATTTGTCGCGGTTAAAAAGTAACTAACAAATGAACCTTATCACAAGAGTAATAAAATGAAGGTATCGTGCGCGCCCTTATGTACGCGCCCTTTTGAGATGTACCTGACACTGCACATCACTAAAAATTAACGGTTCGGTCTCAGATATCCGAAGATTTTCCAAGAACTACAGCCCTACTTGTCAACACATATCTAACAGATTTAAATTATTTTGTATATAAATTTGGTATATAGATTTGGTTCTTTGAATCATTTTAATTCCCATCATTAAAAATTTAAAAATAAAATTTTAACCTGTAATTTAATTTTTAAATTTAATTGATCATTAATCATTTCTAAAATATCAGCTAATTCTCCTCTATAGTATAAAAGAGATATTTTCAAATTCTCGTATTGTTTTAATAAATTGTTATTTTCCAACAGCTGGATTTTGTTTTTAACTTTGATAATTTAATATTTATTCATTGCATATAAGTAAGATATATTATGGACATTATAAGGATTTAAGAAGATATCAGGATTTGGGAAAAAATCTCGTACTCACTCTACAATATCCTTATCCTCCCAAATCGTTCGATATCATCCCAAATCGCTCGAAAACCTCCCAAATCGCTCGAAATCGCTCGATATCATATTGTTAATTTCCCCAAATAAGATTACTTCGAATATTATGTCATTTCTTTGTGTTCAAAAATACTCCGAGAAACCGAAAATTTTTCTTCGGTACTTATAGCTGGTAAAATTCATTAACAATTAAGAATAATATCGTATCTTGAATATTTTATTAATTATTAAACCAACATACCAGACACATCAAATATTATTTCCGAAAGAGGTTCAAGTCCACTAGCAAAATCAAAGAGTTTATTATCCAGAAGATTTAACTTATGTTTAAATTTAAAATATTTAAGAAACGTTTATTATAAAATAGAAATACCGAAAAATATTTTTCTTCATCACCTTCACTTTCATTTTCTACTTGAACTTCATTAGCATCATTAGATTCATTTAATGAACTCTCAATAGAATTTTTGCCTGATATGTTAGAAGCAAATTGGAGAAAATAAAATAGTAAAATTGATAAATTTTTTTTCATCTTCAATCTTTTTTAACAGACTATATTAAGATTAATTTTAATCAGCACTATCGAACCTCACTCTAATATGCATAAAATAAATTCCCCAACTCCCGAAGTCACTCCCGACCCGACTCTCGCTTCACGATTCCCGGGTTTTTTATTTTTGCGAGCATCACTAGACTATAGCAAAGATGGATCTGGATCTGGACCAAGGCCTGAGGTCTTTTCTTTACCCAGAGTCCATGCCCAGGCATTTTTTGACCTTCCTAGTTTTTTCCGGGGTTTTCTAAACGTATTGAAGTTTATACAATTTTTTGTTTTTCTACAAGAGTTTTTAATTGTTATTTAGTGATAGCAATTTAAAAATAAAATGGTAAAGGGGAAACCTTTGAAGTGAGGTAGATTTTAAATATTAAATAGTGCATTTGAATGATGTAAAATCAATTTTAGACATTTAAAAATATTTATTTACATGTTAAAGTGCAGCATTTATAAAAGAATAAAAAAGAATGCCGAAAAAAATTTTTTATTTAAAAGTAAGAGACCAAAACACAAAAATAAAAAAGACTTGAAATTAGCGTTTTTGATGTAGTCGCTAACATATTATGTGGAGATGTCAGAGACTCTTGGTCTTGAGTCTTGATTCCAAGACTTTTCTTGGGTTTTATCGGTCTTGGTTTTGAGGTTAAGTCTTGGTCTAGACTTTTTTGAGCTCGTTTAAATTACACCCCTATGATTGAAGTTTTTTTGTATTCCATATTTTATTACAAAATGTATGAAAAATGGCGGTAATCCTTAAGATCATTGGTCCCTAGGAAAAAAGTGTTGCTACAATTGAGGATACGCACTTGAGGATATGACAAATGAAGACGACAATTGTGGATGTGACATATAAGGACGACACATGAGACACTAGTAGTTTATGAATATATACAATTGTTGGAGTCAAAAAATACAATTAACCCTTTTTAATCATAGTAAATTAGCGGGGACTCAGGTAATACATGGGGGATTCAACATTGCATAACGAAAAAGTACCAAATTTCAATATAATTTTCTCAAGCATGACATTTTACTGTTTTGTCGGCATTTGACATAAATTGTCGGCATTTGACTTTGTGAAAATTTTCTTTGTAAAAAATTTGTTCATTGAAAATTCTTTATTTGAAAATTCTTTATTTTACTCAAGGAAAAAGAAGTTTAATTTTTATGGAAAAGTAGTTTTGTTTAAGGGCAATAAAAATATAGGTAAATGCAATGATTCCGTCCTGTCTGGGGTTTTTTATTTTTTATCCAAAAATATGAGCCATAAGCAAATACTTATAATGTCTGGGAAATTATAAAAATTTAAAAACTTTTTTCTACAGTAAACAAGGCGTGTCTATTTAGTACAAAAAATTATTTATGAGGAACCTTATTTATAGTCTTATTCATTTAAATAATCATTTAGTTTACTCGTCTAGATAAATTTTTAAAGAAAAGTTTAATTTTAAAATATTTTCAGGAAATTATTCAAGTTTTATATAGCTCAGTTTAATTTCTGATATAATTCTTCTAGATTTTTTAAAGTAAAACTTTATTTAATTAAATAATGAAAGAAGACGTATCTTCCGATTCTGATTATGAATTAATTGTAAAATAAAAATTAAATTTACCAAAATATTTTTTAAAATTTTCAGCAATCTAATAGTAATTTAAAAGAAGGGAATGAAAAGGAGAATAAAAATGTTTTGGTAATGGTGATAAGGCTCTTGTCCAGATTACGCGTCCAATCACAATTTTACGCGTACAAGTATAAGTTTAAGCGCCCAACGAAATGATATGCGTCCAAACACTCGCCGATAAGTACCCGGATCTGTATGTTAAAACCTATGATAATTTATACATATCGCGATTGATCGGATGCATAAACATTCCATTGGACGCCTAAGCCTTTTATTGGAAGTGTAAAAGTGCGATAGGACGCGTAATCTGTTCAAGAGCCGTTATGTTTTATTAAAATTATTTTTTGATAAAATTCAAGCCAGAAAATCAAATAAATGTTGAAGAATTAAAACAAACTTTTCAACAAATGATTGATGAACTAAAAATTGAAAATTCTAAACAGAATTTGGCTTTGAAAGAGATTATTGAGCAGAAAGATGAAAAAATAGTTTGTTTAGAAAATAAAGTTAAACAGGTAATTTTAAGAAAATTATAAATATTTGCTTGATTCTGTTGAGCTCGGGGGTCTGTTGAGCTGCAGGTTTTAGCATTGCCCGTGGTGGAGTCGTAGGCAAAAATGAAATTTGTTATAGATTGGGCAAAAATTTTATTAAATTACATTCGCAAAATAAATGTACAGAATTTTGGTTAGCAAGATTTTTCGGTTATAAAGAAAAGAGGGATCATGAGGGTCTTGAGGGATAAAGTGAGATTTTTTCGATTAAGATTGGCAGATTTTGAAATTTAAAAGAATAAGAACATTTGGAGATGTTATCTCTAAGCATCCAAACATTAATCTATTTAAATTTACAAAAGATGGAAGAATCAACTAACAAAAAAGTTGGTGAATTAACTGAAGAATTCGAGCAAATTAATAATTTGAATAAACAATTGTGTTTTGTAAAACTTGCAAATAAATGGAAGGAAATTAAAGAAAAAAGTAATGAAGCTCCTTGGTTTACGGAAGATTGTTGTGAAGCTAAATGTATCAATACAGAAAATCCTGTTGGTAATTGTGTTAAGGGGAATGGATTTGCTAATTTGATTGATGGTGAAAATATTGAATATATTGAACCAAAGAATGATGAACGTTATGGTTATCCTTTAGGTAAATATTAGTTAGTAAAGTCATAGTTTGCTAGTCCCGAGAAATGATTGCTTTTTTGATATTTTTGAGGTTGTCTGTAGGTGATCGGGTAGGAAAAACCCGTCAAAACTTGTTGTTAGTTGCTGTATTTTTAATAGCAAAGTTATACCCAGAATTCGACATTGTTGAAGCATTTGAAATAACTAGTATTGGTAAAATTCAAGTTCGTATTTATCCTTTTTTCTTCCTCAGAGTATTAAGAATTGTCAAACATTCTGCTTTTTAGAGGGTCCTACTACCCCCATTTTTCTCGAGACCAGTAAACTATACCTTTTAATTTAATTTTTAAATTTTTATAAAGGAATTGATAAGTCAACTACCATTTATGCTGAAAATTCATTTAATAAACCGAAGGACAATTCTAACCATTCTTTATTTTATTTTGAAGTTAAATATATAAGTAAAAGTAATGAAGAGCGAATTAATCATAGAAGCATTCATGTTGGCCTTGAAAATTCAAGCAAAAGTTATGCTAGCTTGAATTTCAGTGTATACGGTGGCAAACAAATCCAGTTTAAAGTTCAAACTAAAAAAGGTCGGAATGGTAGCCTTTATCTTCAAAATATTCTTTGGAATAACAATGATATTCTTGGGTGTGGATTAGTTTATCCGCCATCTACTACCAATAACTTCTCTTACATTTTCTTTACGCATAATGGAAAACAAATTGGTATTTAAAATTTTGATAATTTCTTTTATATTTTTGCAAATTATTTTAAATTTACAAAAAAAAACGGGGCGGTAAAAACACCGAATATTTTTAAAATCTGATTTTAAGGATTTGCGTGAATATTAAAAGCAATACCAAAATCTAAGTAATATTTGGTTAAATAAAATTTTTTTAAAGACAGCCCAATATTGTTGAATGACAATTGTGATGGTTATAAACCATATATTCAAATAAAGTCTTGTTCTGTTGAAACGAATTTTGGGAAGGATTTGAAAGCTAATCCTTTTGTTTATGACTTATCAAAACATATATTTCATAAATACTCTGATTACGGTAAATTATATTTCAATAAATATTAAAAAGTTAATCATAATTATGGGGCAAATCCTCATCAGATTACTCATCAAAAATCTCAATTAAAAAGCTTATTTTGCAAATTTTCTATTATTCATATCTCTGAAGGCTCAAGGGTGGGCCGTGCATCAATGTAAAAAATTCAGGGTTGGGGGATATCATGGGACATGATTTTATCGGCACATTCTTTAATAGACTTTATAGCCATTTTTCTTGAATCAAAATAAAAAACAATAAAATTTTTACTTAAAAAAAATTAATTTTTAAGAAAGAGATTTAAATGAATTAATTGAAATGTTCCCATTAATTACAAAAGAAGGAATTGAACAAATATTGTTGGCAAAAGGAGGAATTAAAGAAATTGTTTCGGAAAGTTTAAATGCTATTTTTAATAAAAATACATAATTGATTCATTTTTTTAATTCAAAATAACGTTTTTGAATAAAGTTAATTTTGTTGAGAGATTAATTAATTAATTTGTGGTCCTCGAAACCTGAATCCAAAGGCTTTGGAGAACTTAGTTATTATTTTCCCTTCATTTGTTCACAGTGGTCAGACTCCAAACCACAATTTCATCTAGGTAATTTTCCATGTGGCATTCTCAATTAGAGACACAATTCAATGTGCGCGTTCTGCTTAACTCTTACTGGTAATAATAGGTTTTTTCATCTCATTCCGGTAGAATGTATTTGGCCAGACTAAAATTAAATTTGAACGGTGAGATGATAAGAAATAAAGTAAATTTTCCTCGCAATTTTGAATGATGAAAAGCAACGTTATCCCAGCAACCATTGCAACAATTTAAAGAAATCGGAGATGATTATTACAAAAAATACTCGCTATTGAACAATTAGAATATTTATAAAAAATATCAAACAACAAGATTTAAAAAAAATTTATTTTTAAAATATTATTTTGTACATATTTTGAATATCTTATAAGCTTCCGTCAGTAAATCCAGCTGCCTTTTTCATTTTCAACCCATTTATTTGTATTGTTAGTAAAACTGGTACAATAAATAGACCATGAATTGTGCCAATAATTCTAGTAAATTAAAAATTAATTTATATTTTAGGAATTATTAAATAGGGTTGAAAAAGTATTTTTCGATTAGCTCTGGAAATCAAAATATTTTACAAGCCTACTTATTGGTAAAACAATTATGTATTTGGACTAGTAACTTCATAAAGAGTCCAAACCTGAAGATATCCTTCCCCGATATCTTCTAAACCTCCTGATATCCTGATAGTACACCAAACTCCGGATACCACAATAGTCCTCCAAATCTCTTGATAACCAGATATTTCCCTTGATCTATGACCGGATGAGGGGTTATTCATTTTCATTTACATATACTGTTTCTGCATGTACGGACATATATTTTGTTCGAGATCCCTCTATATAAAACTGAATTACCCTAAAAACAAAACAGTTCTAGCAAACGAAGCAATAATTTCAATTGAGATAAAGAAAAGCGGGAAAATACAAATTATTGTTGAGATGACAGCCTTTAATTAAAGTTATTTTTTAATTAAAATCAAAATTATACCTCAAGCATAGGCCTACCAACAATCTCAAGTATTTGTTCTATCCTTTTCTCAATTTCTTTTTGTTCAAAAATTTTAATATTTTTTATTGGAGATTCTGTTTGAATTTCCTTTTGTTTTTCTTGCAAAATATCAAAATGATAACAAATGTGAGCTGAGAAATCAACAGAAAGACCGATAGCCATTAATAAATTAATCATTGTAACCTTTAAATTTTCTTAAATTTTTATTTGAGATATTACAAGTTAGGCATTCACAAATCGCTTGACCGTGAACCCAGGCTTTCTTTCATAATGATCCATATTACCCTTAAACCTCTTGTTTTTTAATATCTGCAAGCATATGTCAACAACACTCGGAACCCCTGTCTTGGGAACGGCTCGTTGGCCCGAAAAAACTTTGTGAATCCAGCCTGCGGTCGTGGATCACAGTGGTCCGGAAAGCCATTTCCTTGCTCCGACCCGGTGTCAAATATGACTTCAAATAAATATAAACCTTAATTACTAAAATATTGAGATAAAAAATTAAATATTTACCGGGTCTATGTCTTGACCGCACCAACCGAGTGTGCCCAACAATGCTTAAAATTTTAAATATATATTTAAATTTTTATAAAATTATTAACTATAAGAAATTGAAAGAACGGAAAAAGTAGCAATTCCTGTACATCGTAATGTGGGAATGACGAAAAAACAGATTAAAGCCATACATGTTAAAGTTACAAAAACTGCTTTGAGCATTTCGGTCTAAAATTAGAAAATAAAATGGGGAATAATTACAAGATTATTTCCAACTATTAGGGGTAGGAATAGCGAATGGACAGAGCTGAGATCTTGAATAATAATTCAATCATTGAGATCTAGATGGTTCGTCCGCTTTACTTGATATTCTGCGCCACTATTTTTAACTCACGGATTTTTAATTTTGAAAAAAACTCGCCAAATTACTAGAGGATATTCTCGAATAATATTTAGTGGTATTCACGTTCAAATATTAAAACTCGAATAATTGTCCCCTCTCAATTAATCACCCCCTATAGCGAGGGTTGAGACATGATTACTGCTGCATTCGCTTAATCAAATAAACAATTTGCATTTTCACATGCAATATAAAGTGACCTTTTTCTAAATAAAAGGCCTCCCGACGTTATCATCCAATTCTCGTTCCTTATCTTATTTTTGTTATTCACTTTCCATTTATATTTTGACCCTTAAGTTGTCTCTATAAATACCCCAGCCTTTTCCTCATTAGAAGAAGATTTGGCCTAGCCAATCTCTCCCTTATTATTGTATCCCATATTTATATGGAGAATAAACTAATGAATAGAATAAATATTTGAAAATGTAATTCAGTCTAATACAAGTCCCCAGAATAGTAGAACCCGAGAAAAAGCTATATAAACCCAAATATAGCAATTGGTGCCACTTGTCCCGGGCTATTCTGAGAGGACTAAAAATTAATATACCGGGCATAGACCCGAAGAATTAAAAAAATCGAATGAATTAAAATGGCGGTTATAAACCGAGATAGCTGGAAATAAAAAAAAATTAATCAAGCATCCGCAAATACAATAATGGCATAGCCTGGTGTGTGAAAAATAGAAAAATTCTAGAAAATTAATATCTTAGTTTGGAGGGATTTTAAAAAAAAACGTCTTGAAAGTGTAATGATCTGAAAAGTTAACACTGAAGATAGAAGCGGAAAAGAACTTTCTGTGGTAATTAAATAGCCGAAGCTTTGTGCGGGCTAGGTGCCTGGCTATAATGCATAAGACGCGGGGTGCGCAGCAAATAAAACCGAGAATGGATCTAAACCTAATCTTTAAACAGTGATAGCTGTGGAAGACAAGCAAAAACAAGACGATTTTTTTTATTGAAGGGAAGGAAAAAGTGTTTAAGAATTTTTCATAAAAAGCAAAAAATAAGAAATTTTGAAGATTGATCATAAAATCTTTTGCCCGTTTTTTCAACGGAGAAACTCACGCTCGTCGCAAAGAGAACAGTAACAAGGAAATTATTTGCAACTTCTATGCCTCAACAATTCAATGATAAGGGACAACAATAAAACGACTGATCTACTCTGGATGCAAAAATGGCACATGGCACTCAAAGAATCAAATGGACAACACTGGAAAGAATGATGCTCCAATCTCAACTAGGCTGTAACAAACACTCCATAAGTTCTTGTCACCATAATTTTTTAAAAATTTTTGTAAACCAATTTTGTTTTTTAATCCCCTTGTGTAATTTTTCTTTACCCTCCCAAAATTATGTAATCTGCCCCATTCAGTAATCTCTCTAAAATTTACTAAAGTCGGAGAATATGGAGTTGAATCGCTAATGCAGAAGATCTTTAATGACAAGAAAAAGATTTTAAACCCAAATGGAGATTGTTAAGCGAAGGCATTAGAATATAAAAAATAATTATTGAAAATACCGTTATGAGAAATAAAAGACGAGAATGAAAAAAAATTATATATATAAAATATTTAAAAGTTAAAGTGCCACCCGTTAAATCGGAGAAAATTTAGTTTAAAAAAGCAGCCTAAACAAATCTCCCAAAATATCAGAACGTGGACGTTCTTTTCGAAGAGGGAAGGAATGCTGCATTCGCTTAATCAAATAAACAATTTGCATTTTCACATGCAATATAAAGTGACCTTTTTCTAAATAAAAGGCCTCCCGACGTTATCATCCAATTCTCGTTCCTTATCTTATTTTTGTTATTCACTTTCCATTTATATTTTGACCCTTAAGTTGTCTCTATAAATACCCCAGCCTTTTCCTCATTAGAAGAAGATTTGGCCTAGCCAATCTCTCCCTTATTATTGTATCCCATATTTATATGGAGAATAAACTAATGAATAGAATAAATATTTGAAAATGTAATTCAGTCTAATACAAGTCCCCAGAATAGTAGAACCCGAGAAAAAGCTATATAAACCCAAATATAGCAATTACCAAGGCTAATTATTTGAGCATATGAGTTAGTTGGTCATTAAAGAGAATTTAATAAATTTACCTTAACTCCCAAAATTAAATCATAAATAGTCGAATCATAATCAAAAACTGAAACATTAAATTTTGGAAATTGATCAACAATATTTCTTATTTTATCAACAAAAAATGCTCTTTCAAGCCAATTCAAATCTCCTTTGAAATTATTCAAAAAAGCTAAAATTAATAAATAATTTTACTAACCCCCGCGAGAAATTCCAAAAACAAAACTATCAACAGATATATTTCCTCTTTAATTAAAATTTTTTTACTAAAAAAATGATTAAACTAACAATCCAAAATCTCTAAATTGTACAATTCTTTTATCATCCATTCTTCTCTCTTTTAAAAATTGCGGAACCAAAGAATAGTTTGGTTGGTAATTAATTGAATTGTTCAAATTTATTTTGATTTTGTGATACTAAAAATAACTTTTATTAAGAGGATCAAATATTTAATTACACAAAATTTAACAATACTTCGTTAAATTCCTTCTAAAAATAAAATGGCACCCTCACTGACTCTCATTCTCCCCCCCCCCTCCCGCACTCTCTCCCTCTTCTTTTCCCCTCTCTCCCTCTTTTCCCACTTATTACATACATATACCTATCACACTCCCTCCCTGCATCCCTACCTCCTCATCTCCTCCTCTCCTTTCTTATCCCTCTCACTTACTTCCAGATAGCCATTAAGCCATATTTGAACATGCAAAGTATTTGGCAAATTCTGTATAATATTAATCATTTTGTTGAAATTGTTTACTTCTACAGGATCAGAAATATTTGGAGGGTGAAAGACAAAAAAAGAAATTGGAGAATGCTTTAAAAAGTAAAAAATATTTATTTTTCTAAAATTATATTTTACATATTTCATAATTCTATTAAATATTTTGATTGTATCCTGAAGTGGAGAGTCGCCAGGAAATGTCCTTTCTGGTATAAAACTCGTCTCCATTTGATTAATTCCAAAATATGCTAAAATATATGAGATGAAGAGTAGCACAAATATAGATATTTTAGCTCGAAATGAAACGAGGAATTTTGAATAAAAACGTAGAAATGATGAAGAAAAAGAAGAAGGTCTGAAGATTAATAATAATTATTATTAGATATTTTTTATCCTTTTTTTGACTCAGATTTTATTCAAGTCCTAAAAGCTGATGCGTGGATGATAGGTAGCCTGTCATGTGCCAAGGGTGTTAAACTGCGACGCAAATTATACATATGTCCATCCCTTTCAAAAAAATTGTCAATGGCATTGATTCGAATCTTTCGAATAGTGAGCTGGATGGCCCTCTCTGAGCTTGTTGGAGTGATGAGTTGGATGTGTGCATCTCCCCTGTGCACTTTTTTTTCAACCATCCCTTCATTTATTTTTGCTTTATTTGTTAGACTGGAAGGAAACCTTATGGTTGGTTCTCTAAAAATCCTATAATCCTATATTCATGAATGGTTCTCTAAAAATCCTATAATCCTATATTCATGAATTGTATTGAATAGAGCATGATGATATTTTCATAATAAATTTCAAAGCAGATAATATTATCTTTTAAATCAAGGAAAATTATTTTCACCTTTCCTTTCTCAATTTCATTATTCCAAAAAGTGGCCAATTCTCTCCTTTTATTGTACTCTCGTTTTCTTCAATTTTCCATTTAATAAAAGGGAGACAAGGTGCAAATATTAAAAATTCAAATAAAAAATCCAAAAATATAGCAATTGAAGTACACAAACAAAAATTGGACATTAAAGATGATGGAGAGAAAATACCAACTCCAAAAGCAATTCCATTAGTTAAAGAAGTTATTGCTATAGAAGAATCCATCTCTCCAAAAACGTTTGCCATTCTTTGAGCAAATGTAACTATTTAAAAATTATTTTGAGGATTAATTAAATGTTTTCATGTAATGCTAAATGAATTATTTGCCTTTAGTTGAATGCCTCGGATAATAATAAAAAATAATATTTCCGGCACTATATTTTCAATCATTCAACAGTGGGTATTCTATTATAGGTGGGGGCATTGGAGGGGGGGGGGGTATTTATTATGGGGGAGGGGAAGGGGGATTGTTGAATGCCACGTTGGAATCACCGTTCAAGGGAACATTCTACTAGAAGTGGGCATTATATTCGAGAGTGATTAGGTCTTAAATAATTCTGGGTCGAAAAAATGACAAAAATTGGTGAGTCCGGGTTCATGTTTCTGTTACCATCCAGCATAATCGCCTTGTTTTTTAACAAATACTATTAATATTAAATTTTTATCTATTTTTTGATTACTTTCTTCATTCTCATTTAATTCGCTTTGTTCAATCAAAGCCCATTTCCTCCAAGAATGTATTAATAAAAAAGCATTATCCACCCCAATACCAAAAACGAGAAACGGCATTATAGGCATTATTGAATTAAATTTAATTCCAATCCATCCAATAATTGAAAAAGCAACAGAAATGGATAAAAGAGGTGAAAGTAATGAAGAAGTAATTAAAATGAACTTAAATGAATAAAAAATATTTTTTTGATATCCTAACTCCGTCTCAGGTAATTTGATACACTTATCACGCCCAAATCTCTCCATATCCCTTTTAATCCCCTCAATTATAACTCCAATCCATCTTAATCCATGCAAATTCTCCCATATACCGATAAATCTTTCTTCATTACGCCGCAGGCAAAAATTTTGAGAATTTTGGAAGCCGAGGTCACCAGATATTGTGTTAATAATTCTCGATTTTTCAAAAAAATTTCAGGAAACGGGAAGCTTGTTCCCTGATCTATGCATTATTTCTTGGTTAATTGTTTTATAAAAAATTGCCTGAGATTTCCAATTAAAATGCCAAAAAGCTACAACCAAAAATAAAATCATTGCAACCACCCCAATGCCCAACAAACTTGTAATTTTCTTAGCACTCCTCATCATTTCATAATTAGCTAATTGATCAGTATAAATTAAAATTTTGAAAGTTAAATCCTTTAAATCTCCATTATTTATATTATTGAAAAATTTTAATTCCAAATTATTTAGTATTCCCATTTGATTTTTATTTTTATTGTTTCCGTCAAGTAAATAACTTTAAATTAATTAATTTAAAAAATATATTTTTTTATATTTTTTACTAAATTCCAATAGTTTCCACAGATTCAATTTTTGAGGGAAACTTCTCTGAATTATTTCCTTCTCTCAATTTAACACCAAAAAAATGAGAATCCAAAAGAACATCAAAACCATAGATTTGAGATATTGGAAAGTCCAAATTAATTTGTTTATTTGATTCTGAGGTTAATAAAAGTGATGTACTTTGTAATTGATATGCCCATTTAAATGCGTGAAAAAGATAATTCATATCACCTTTGCTGGTCTAATAATTAAATACAATTACTTTGTTAATTATTTAGCTCGAATAAATACCACAGGTAGGTAATAAGTATTTAAACCTCTCGATAGAGGGGATATAGGAGGGTGAGAGCACCCCCTCCATAACTATTTATCCGAGAGGACCACTCTATAACTATTTTTAAGTGGGTATAGTTCAACCTACACGGGGGGGGGTAGGTTGAACTATACCCACTTAAATGCGTGAAAAGATAATTCATATCACGTGAAAAAGATAATTCAAAAAAGATAATGAAAAAGATAATTCATTAAATGCGTGAAAAAGATAATTCATATCACCTTTGCTGGTCTAATAATTAAATACAATTATTTAGTTAAATTTTAGCTCAAATAAATAACTCGGGCAATTCAAGTTTCAGCCTCCCGATGGAGGGGATAAATGTGAAAGGGTATCCAAGGATATATACGTATCCGTAAGCACCTCCGCTATAACTATTTTTAAGGAGGTTTAGAAACGCTAATTATAACTATTTTAGTGGGTAATTATGTGAGTGATCCTGTTTGGAGAGGGGATTTATTTAAGCATATAAATTATTGAAAAAACCTTAAAATCCTTTAAACGAACAACTCTTTGACTATCATTTTTTCCTTCAGAAAATCCATCAATTTTAATTTCCATAGAAAGTTCTTTTATATAACGATCTAAAATCTCCACATCTGAAAGCAATTTATCATTCATAATCAAGCGTTTGTCTGAAGTTTTTGGTTCCAAAAAGATCAAAACAAGATCTACTCCGTCTATAGAGACATTATAGAATTCAGCAAATGCCTGTGAATTGAAATTTTTTTAAATTATAATTGGCATATGAGTTTTCAAAAAGATGCGAAGAAGATCGACCAAATCTTGTAATAAAAACGGATGTTTTGGACCATGATTAGTTCAAACGACTTAACTCGAGTCGACTTAACCCGGGCCGAGTTAAGTCGGACGAGTGGGTGAGGTTGACGGTTCCTGGGGAATCTCCGGATAGTACTCATGGATATCCCATCTAAGCCTTCGTCTGAGTTCATTCATTCTTCATTAATGTTCCGGACTTAATTAACTTGTAAATAATAATAGACTTGAATATGGAAAGATAACTAAGATTTGAACTAGGAGGGGGACGAGGTCTTAAAAGTAACCTCGAAATTACGCACAGTGTTACCATAATCAGGCCAGACTTTTTTGATTTCGGATATCCTCAACCAACAACATTAGAAGATGGTAAGGTCTACTTCAAGTAAAGGTTTACTCTTATTTGAGAAATTTTTTAAAAATAATTTCTACCTTCGATTCAACCGTTGCCCTTCCATTCTTAGGGGAAAACCCTCTCCTTACATCAGTTTCGACTTTAATGTCATTAATTAAATAATAAGATAATGATGGGAGGAATAAAAATAAATTTGTTAAAAAAATAGTTTTGGGCCTTTTGCCAACTATAAAACCAATTTTTCGAAATAAAGATGATAAACTCATTAATAATCTACATAAAAAATATATTATTTATTTTTTATAAATTTAGATTAATTAATTTTTTAAAATCTTGTTCCGAATAATGATTAATTAATTAAATAAAATAACATTTACATTGTGTAATAAAATGTAATTAATTATTTTTAAAGGAAATTAAAAAATAAGTTAAAATAGGAAGTTTAAGAAATATGTATAATATTATTCTGTAAATTATTAGGAAAGTGATTAACCCTTATCATGATTTTTGGTAAATCCAAATTTAAAAAATCGGGGCTTCTTTTGAGTTTTAGTTTAATATCCGTTTTATTTTGTGGTAATTTTTTTTAAATTTTCGCTTCTTAAACAAGTCTTGTCCACCCCCACCCTCACAATAACTATATATTTACTAACTAATTTTTCAAATTATTAAAAAAGTACATGAAAAATTTGGTTGCTATAGCAACAGATTTTTCATAAAATTTATATTTTAAATTAAAGAAAATAAATAAATATAATTTTAGATGTCAAGAAAAGGTCAAAATTAATTAATTAATCAAATATTATAAGTTTATTAGCAAGATTTATTTAAGTGTGTAAATTATTAATTGTAGGTTTATTCAAAAATAAAATTGCAGTTAATATTGAATTAAAGCCTATAAGAAAAATAAATGTTTTTATTTAAATAAATAATTTAAAAAAGCCTTTAGAAAATTAATTTTCTATAAAATTAAAAGTTAATTTATCAATTGTTAGGCGAATGAATTAGTCAGAATGAAAATAAAATTTACTAAAAATAAGTTTATCTTCTTTGTTCTCTCCTGCAAAAAAAAGAAAATAAAAATTTAATTTTATCGCGAACAACCAGTTTTTAAAAATGTAATAGAAAGTTGAAATTTTAAGAAACGGCGCAAAAAATTTATAAAATAATGAATAGGTATAATAAAGTATGAATAATAAATAATAAATGATTATTTACTTTTAATTAATTAAATAATTACTGATACCTATATTTGTTTTTGTTATTCAATTATGAAGTTGGAATCACAACATTTTTACATGGTTGGGGCTTATGATTCGAACTTGACACCCTTTATTCTGAAATCATTCGTTAGCTTAATTATATAAATTTTATGCTTTTTCGATGCTCTAAAATTTTAATAAATGTGTATCACAATCTAAAATTCTAAATAATGATGGTCCAAGACCAACTAAAAATAGTCCTGAAGAAAAAAATGCTTAGAACTTAATCAAAATATTGAAACCGAGATAAAAAAATTTTTATTACGACTCAGGGTTGCCGCGGTACAAAAAATCTTCGGGTACGGGTTTCGGGTATCGGGTTGGAGCGTTTTCATTTCGGGTCACGGGTTCCGTGTTGGCAAAAATATCGGGTACGGGTTTCGGGTTGGAAAATTTCCATTTCGGGTCACGGGTAATTGCAAGGAGACTAAATTGCAAGGAGACAAGCTATATTGAATAATAGGATTGTGGGTGATATAGAGATTTCCAGCCCTGGACTCGAACCCAGCCCGATGAAAATATCGAGCCATTCGCCTCACCCATTGAACCACCGATCAACCTACGAAAAAAGTGAAAAAATTATAAATATAACTTTCCCTTTTCCTTCTTTCTCTTTCTATAATTTTTTAAATTTATTTAAAAAAATCGGGTAAGGCTAAGTTTTCGGGTAGAAATTTCGGGTTTTAACCAATTTCGGGTCACGGGTTTCGGGTTGGAAATAATATCGGGTACGGGTTTCGGGTAACGGGTTTCGGGCGGCAACCCTGTTACGACTTTTATTTTCATGTATTTCCGCTGAAATACATATACTACTGAAATGATAGGAAGCCTTAAATTTTTCAAAATCTCTTGTTTTCAATTTACTAAACAAAAATAAAAAAGTTAAAAATCAATCATAGATTTTTAATTGGAACAGACAAGATAATACATATTCCTGATATTTTTCAAACCCTCAAACAAAAATTCTTTGGCCCTTAATATTTGTTATATCGAGGGTTGACAATGATTATTAAATTTATTAATTAAATTAAATTTTTTAATAACATAAGTCGAGGAATGTTATTTTTTAATTTAAAAATATACAAGTTTTTAGGAAAGAAAAAATTTTTTTCTTATTTTTCTTAACATTTAAAATGGCCAAAAAGTGAAATAATTGTTTTGAGGGAAATTGCACTTTAATTGTAAACCCCGCGCTCTCATTCTATTCTTAAATTGCGCTCTCAATCTTTTAAATAGAACAAGTTTTGTTATTTTTATTGTTTTTTTATTAATTTTGGCGATATTTTTTTATGAAAGTACGAAATTTTTATTAAAGAATGTTTTTAAATTTTAGTAATTTTACGTAAATATTATTATTTTTTTATTTATAAAACACATCTTTTGAATTTTAGAAATTTCTTATTCATATAACTGTAAATATTATTTATTACAACATCAAATATTTTGGTTCATCCCTGATTTTTTTGAATAAATCTTCTCTCGACTCTTTAATCTTTGTATTTAGCGCTTCTGATAAATTAATTTGCTCGTCACTTTCATTATATTCTCTGATCGTGTAAACGGCATTTTCAACTGCTAATCTTGCTAAAAATTGAATATTTAGATTATACATATAACTGAGGGTATAAGAATAGGTAATAAGTAGGGATCGGATTTTTTTGTATCTGATTTTCATGTATCATGTATCGGATTTTTATGTTTCACTACAGTATAAAAGCCAGCGTAGCGTCAGGATAGTTGGATTATATAACCCGGGTCACTGATCTTTTTTGTCTGTTCCAGCCAATCCATATGCACAAGCATTGTAATTATATCTTTACTTCGGACAACTGCATTCTTGTATATTACTTGGGATATATTGTTTAGCTAACCGATAGTAACTTCAAATTATTTTTTAAATATTCAAAATAACAATATTGCCATTAGCATACTCGATTATACATATTTTTCTGTGGAAAAATTTATTGAATGGGAGATTAAATATACCCAAGATGAAATCCCTCACCATTATGTTTGTATTGGAAGGATAATTTTTCAGAAAAGCAAAATACTAAACTTGCCTGTGCTCAAACCAATAGCGGCCAGAAAACGAGCTTTTGGAACGAGCTTTGTATAAAAAATTAAAAAGAGCTTTAAACCATCGTTTTTGTAATTCAACAATAAAATCATCAAATTGTTTCATTTTTTTCTTATGATTTTCTTCAGCCTTATTTTAAGGTATTTATCTCGTTTATGTTTATCACAAATACGTAATATAGAAAACAGAGAATCGAGTTTGTACTAAATATCCTGCACGTCCTGATGGCCGAAAATCAAAAATTCCTTACTATTGTAAGGATGATTCACCCAGCAGCATTTAAAACGCTTAGGCGGGGGATAAACGATCTAAAAAGGAAAAAGAGAAAGCATTAGTCGATGCCCCGGTAGCTCAATGGTAGAGCTCCTGCATATAGTGAGCGAAAGCCTAGCAACAACTAGCAGGTGGTCGCAGGTTCGAATTTTGCCCGGTGGCTAAACTTTTGCAAAAACTCTTTCTCTATTATGATCATGCTATGGAATAATTCATAGATGGGAGATGGGATTCAACCATACGTAATAAGCCCATACCGAATGGTTTGGTTTCCCAGACCAAACCCCAGCCCAACAGACTGTGCCACCATCCAACTCGATGATGGTTATTTATTTTAATTTATATTATTTCTGCAAGTGAGGACACAACACTTACGCTTTTTGGGTCGGGAATACCGACTCGTGACTGGTTTATCGGAATCAGAATTTAAAATTTACTCAAAAATTTCCACCGAACGTCAGTGGTATTCTTAAATCGATAGTTTCCCTGGTTTCTAATATTTCATTGAGCATGATTCGTCCATCAACTCTTTGTTTTTTTGTAAGCGAAGATCTAATTTGATCCGATTCTCTAGGTTGACACGAGATAAATACCTTTTTTAATTTTTTATTTTGAATTGAAGATTTCGATTTTTCTTTAAATTCATTATCTAACATCTTTCTCTCATTTTTAATTTCTTCAATTAATTCCACAATTGCCATAGGAGTTCTTGATTCGATTTGTATTTTTGAGTTTGACTCAAATATTCGTACAAAAGTATATGATGCATAATTTGAACACCTAATATCCCCATCAATTAATTTTCTATAAGCTTTGCCTGTCCTAGTTAAAGGTATACCACCAAAATATTCAGATGCCATTCCACAAGAAATTAAAGACTGAATACTTTCATAACGTTTTCTAAGTTTTTCAGAAAGAAAATCTGATTCTTCTACCAGTTTATCTATATTTTCCTTATCTAAATAACTCCAGCTCTTTTCAAGCACGCCGTCGTAGAAAAAGTAACCTTCCTTGAATATCTTTTTGTTATGAAATTTTTTGTCAAATATAGCAAAAGCATAGTTAACTGATGTTGTTTTTGTTTCTAAATTTTTTTTAAATTAATATACATTTTTGCATAAAAAAGCCGAGGTATTCCCTGAGATATTCCAGCAATAGCATAAAAAATTTTCATCATAAAGTTTTTTTTCAATCTTTAAATAATCACTAGGGGTTAGATTTGAAGTGAAGAAAAATATTAAATATGGAAAATTTTTTAGTTTAAAATTTACCTAAAAATTTATTTCGAATATTGTCATTAACACTATCTGCACAAAAAAATAAATCAAATGTAATTCCTTGAACCTCAAATCCATATAGTGTTTCATTTGATTTTCCTTTTAAATCATTAATTTCGTTTTTAATTATTTTATTATCTTTTAAGGTATCTTTCTCGAGTTTGAGGATTGCCTTTTTATTTTTATTACTTTTACTTTTAAAATTTAATTTTGATTTCAATTTTTTAAAAAAGGATGTTTTTTGTTTTTGCGGTAAAATATTGTCAAAATTATTTATTTCACCGGTTTTTCTCAAAATTGCCATCGGCTTTTCCTGTGCCAGATTGTTCTTCCTGTGCCAAAATTTTGGCACAGGCTTTTCCTGTATCAAATTAATGTCAACAATCTCTGTGTTGTTAAGAATTCTCAAAAATGATTTTCCGTCATGCTTTGCCTCTTGGTTTCCTTCATGATTATTTACATATTCAATTAATTTATTTAACCTATCCCTTAACACAGTTTCCAAATTTTTGCTTTTAATAATAAAACCAATATCATTATTAACGTCTTTTAACAATGATTTATCTTCAACATAAAGTTGATCAAATCCAGTACCCAAAATGTATCGTAATTCTGACATCCATTTCCGATCAACAAAAATAAAATGATTGCGAGCATACTCGTCAGGACTATCATCTATTAGAGTTACATTCATACCTTCTAAAAATTATTGAGAAAATAATGGTATGTATTAACTATTTACCAATAAAAAGCTTGATAGTAGCATATAGGCCAATTGGCCCCCCACCTTCCACAAGTACATTTTTATATTGTTTATTCGATTTTTTATTCGAAAAATGATCAGTGTAGATCTGCTCTATTATAATTTTATCCATTTCTTCACTTTGGAATTTTGATAAAACAAAAATTGTTCTTAATGCACCCAAAGCAGAAATATTTGTAAGAAGCTCTTGTCTTTGAAACCATTCCTTAATAAGTCTCCTTGACGAAGGCCCCTTTTCGATAAAAGAGTATATATCAATTAAGGACCCTTCTGAGCCATTTGAATGTAGATCAATTATAAATAGCTTGGACAGTATAATTGAATTTATCATGTTTTCGTAGTATTCTTTGGATTGATTAGACATGGAACATGCTTTGAAATTTGAAATATTAACTAGAAGCCTTTTTTCTAATAGAATTATACTAGAATTCTATTATTAATTCTATTATTATTACACGCTTAAACCTAATAAACTTCGATCAAAATTATAGATCAGTGAGCACTGTTATGGTTCGATGCACGTCGACGAGCTGAATCGAACCATCCAGGACGGCCTGGATTCGACAATTTTGAACGAAGCCTTGGCCTTGCGGTACATTGGCCTGTTTCCGTTAAAAGCTTATTAATGCGACAAAATGATTACATTCCCCTGGGATGTGGAGCTTGTCCAAGCGCTTCAATGGATTTAAACAAAATAAGACAGACTTCACTAAATCCGTCACTAGTAGAAACTTTTACACATATTAAGCCTCGTATACATAATTCATACAGACTACCTGATTTTGCTAATTCATTTTCATTTCCAATTTCCTTTGCCTCTTTCAGACAATTTTTAATGTAGTTATCATAATAATTCAATTCCTGTGCAATATCTTTAGTCAATTTGATATCTTTCAAATATACTTCACCGAATTCAGTAACTTTACGTATTAGACTTTGAAAAGCTTTTTGGTATATTTGAAAGGAAACTTGATTTTTTATTTTCTCATCTGCATCCAAAAGATATTCAAATTCTTCAAATAAAAGAACATCATTTGATTGTTTATTACTTTGTGATTGTGCATCAGCTGTCGTTTTTAACTGGTCTATGCGCCAATAAGCTAATCCTTTCTCTGAAAAACCTCTTATTTATGGAATTATTATGTTGAAACCAAAATTGTATCTGAAACGCCTATAATCCGAACATGGAAAAATGTATTCTTTCGATTTTTGATATTTAATCGAAAAATAACTGTGAAAAAATTTCAGATCTATCTGTTAAGATAAGGAATACACCATATTTTATGCACTACAATTTTTCAACCATAAGAGCATTGCAGACCAGAAAGGGAAATACCAGAAGTAAAAATTTGTCTAAGTTGACTAAAAAATAGTCCAAACTACAAAACTGTTTTAACTTTAAGGCAGCGGATATGTTTCATATTTTCAGGTAAATCTCGTATTTTTACCTTTATCAAATTTATATCTCGGTTAATCTTGTTGCAGTGAGTCGTATATAAATTTTCTTCGTATTGCTTTAGGTACTTCTTTTTCATTTTCATTATTAGTTTCATTTCCTTTTAAAATCGAAATAAAACTAAGAAAATTTTAATAAACAAAAATATTTTTGTTTTACTTAACATTTAATTTTTTAAATGAAATCCAGAAATATTCGAGTTTTTGTGCAAGAAATATCCGTATTCGAATATATCTGTGAGTTAATGTATGTATATCTGAATCTAAAAAATATTTACATTACTAAAAACGAGAGACCGGAATATGAGTTTCTTACGTGAATCTAGATCGATAGATTCTTGATAACCGAGATTTTCTAGAAGATCTCGTCTCTTAAATAACTTTCAACTCTTCCCTTTCTTTTTGTGCTGAAGGCATGAATTCGAATATTCTTGTAAACCTATTTCAAAATTAAAGAATTTTTTTTATAAATTTTACCATTAACTTCCTCATCATAATTCGGCTCTAACGATATTTCTCGATTTTCATCTATTTTTTGTTTTCCTTTAGATGAAGAAGAGCTTCCAAATAAAATCGTCCTTTTATTTCCATCTTTTATATTAGTTAATTTATTAGTTCCGTATAATAAATTAATTTGTATACTTAAACAAGTTAACAAAATAATTAGTTTCATTAAAATTAAAATTTTTTCTAAATTTGCACAAGTTGCGGTGAATTAAGGGCACTGTTTCTTTTCAGTGATTGAAATCGGTAATTCTCTTTTTATTATATTCCCAACACTTTAAATAAAGAGCTGATTCGAATCATAAAAATATTTCCTATATCAATATCTTAACCATGAATCCGTAACAACTTTCACAAAAAAATTTGTTCAAAATTTGATTAATCAGCTTATATTCTAAAATTCAAAAGCAATTTAAATATAAACAAGTTTCTTAGGGTGATGGGAATAAAATAAAAAAGAATTACTGATTTTCTTAAATTTTCAAAAGGGTTATGTCAAAAATAAAAAGTGTCCTTAATTTGCCGCACCATGTATTTAAATAAGATAAAAATTATTTGTTAATTATTAGAAATGATAAAACAATTAATTTTCATTAAAATAAAATTGCTTAATCAAAGGTTGTAACAAAATTATCTTAACTAATTTTTCACTAATTTTTGTTGAAATTTATCTATCGACAGTGACAGTAAATTTCGGTTCGTTGAATAGGCACCTGTGGTATCACGTAAAATCACGTATGATATCTCGTTGGTAGTAGATACGGATATAGTTACAGATAATTTCAAAATGTTCGCGGATAACGTCTTAAAAAATCCGGATACATATACTAAAATCATTGTCAATTATCATTTACCAAGTTATACGCTCCGTTTCATAACACACTTTAAAAACCTATCAAATATAGTATATATTATAGAAGAAATTTTAAAGTGGGTTATGAAACGGAGCGTATAACAGACTTGGTAAATGATAATTGACAATGATTTTAGTATATGTATCCGGATTTTTTAAGACGTTATCCGCGAGCATTTTTAAATTATCTGTAACTATATCTGTATCTACTACCAACGAGATATATATATATATATATCTACAAAACATATCTACAAAACCTATCAAATATAGTATATATTATAGAAGAAATTTTAATTTTAAAATTTTATAAAATTTAACTATTAGAAAAGATAAACAAAAGGTCAATTAAAGAAATCTGAGTAATAATTTAATTTTTAAATTATTTATAAAGAAAAACCGACATACATGTCCTTTCATAATATAAATTTCTCAATTTTGTTTTTCTTAAGAAATAAAGAAAAATACTGTCTGGGAAAATATGTTATTGTATGGGACAGATTTTAATTTAAAAAATTAGGAAATTGTTAACTTAATACAGTGAGGTGCAAAAGTTTAAGCCGCGGCTTTAAAACATCATAGAGCCTTTCAGGATCGATCAATGTCTAGAATCTTGCTGCTTTTATATATGATTCTCCGTAAAATTCTGTACAAAATGCAAAAAACCGCATTCGTAATGCTTCGGCCCGAACCGGAATATGATTTTTTGAAAATCTAAAAAAAGCTATTTTTCGGGTTTTTGGTGTTTTCGGTTGTTTTTTTATTTCAAAAAATCATATCTCGGTTCGGGTGAAGCATTTCAAATGCGGTTTTTTGGATTTTGTTCAGAATTTTACGGAGAATCATATATAAAATCAGCAAGATTCTAGAAAATTTTTTCAAAGATCCAGCAAATGGGCTGTTTATTTGCCAGTTTAAAAGGGGTCGAAAAGTAGAAATTGAAGAAAATGCCGAAAGATGTCAACTGAGTTATCGTTTAAGCTATATTTTAAGACCAAGAATGTCGACATTGATCGATCCTAAAAGGTATTATGATGTTTTAAAGCTGCGGCATAAACTTTTGCATAAGAAATAATACATAAACACTGTATTATTTTTAATAAAGATAAAGCAGAATTTCAGATTTCAAAAATAGAAATTAATAAATAAATAAAAATTAAATTTTGAATATTTAATTAATAAAGTCGAAGCTAGTAGTGGGTAGTTTTTTATTAAGAAGCTATATGTTAAGTAAAAAATTTTGCACTTTGTCATTAATAAAATTGATTTTCAGAATCTTGACTGCTTTATTTCACTATTAAAATACAGAATATAAAATTTATTGAGTGAATTCACTTAAACTCTCCATGGTAATATTATTTTTATTTTTAAACCCCGCTAAGTAGTAAGTAGACAGGGACTGTTTCAATTTCCGTTTGAAAGTATGAGGGAGTCGGGAAGGGAGGGTCCGAGGGGATTAAATGGTCAAACCTGTTAAGATTGTCGGGAGTGGAGAAGGTCGGGAGTGGAAACTAAAAAAAGCCTTTTACTTTTTTTAGTTTGTTTGAATAGACCAAAACATCTTAGCACGGCAATAGTATCGATATAAATCATTGCATAAGTCAATTTTTAATGTATCCCCTTTCTGTTTTGTTTAAATTTGTCTTTATCAAGAAAAAACATCTTTGTCAAGATAAATTAAAATTTTAAATTAAATTCACACTTGAGAACAGCTTAATTATAAGCATATATTTCACCTAATTTGTTTCCAGAGATACTCATTCTTGTATGCCTTCTTTTCTTCAGCTTTTGCCTTAGCTAGTTCTTTTCTAGTAAGTGGTTCATAAAACGGTGTAATTGGTTTTGAGGTATCAGACTAGACTGGCTCGGTAGATTTAACATTTAGGAGGCCACTTTTGAAGAAGTTTTGCGAGGCATTGTTAATTATGTAGTTTAAAGGAAGTATTTATTAGTTTAATAATTTTTAGAATGAGTGAATGAATAAGCGGATAACCCTTTATAATCAAAAAAGGGGTGTTAACTTGGTACTTCAATTTATTAAGTTTTAATTAATAGAAGACACGCCTTCTATTGTTTTTAAATCAATGAATTCATCAAATCATTTAACGAAATCTTTATTACATTATTCAATATTATCATTATTCAATTTATTCAACTAAAAAAATTCACTTTTATTGAGTTTTCAAAAATATTAAATTTTTTTGAATAATGGGTTTTGCTTAAATGAAATTTTTTAGGAAGTAGTATATAAAAATATTCAATGAATTTTTAAAAAAAGTAAGGAATATTTTAAAAATTATTTTTTATTTATTTAATTCTTGAATTTCATCATCTTTCTCCTCCTCAATAATTGTATCAAGTTTATTTTTTAATGGATAAAACTTTTCATATTCCCTTATAAAATCCTCTTCTTCTTCTAACCAATCCTCTATCTTATCTAATTTTTCTTTTTTATTAAGAAATGGAAATATTTTGTTAAATAATTTAATAAAAGGTCCTTCTTTTCTATTCTTATCTATTTTTATTTTAAACTTTCCAAATTTGAATTCGGT